TATTATTATTATTATTATTATTATTATTATTATTATTTTGTTGATAAAATAAATAATTTTTTTATAAGATGATGTGATATTGGGACTATTTATGAAATAGGAGAGATAATTTCATGGATGAAGAGTGAATAGTAAATAATTACAAATTTAATGATATGACATTTTGGAAGTGAGAGAAAATTGTATGAGTAAAAATAGCCTTAGTCCTTTCAAAAAAAAAAAAAAAAAGATAGCATATGATCTCTATTGCTCCACGTGATTGTTGGAAAAAAAATGCTTGTATAATTGTATTATGTAATATTTTGAGATACAACAAAATACAGAATAAATAAGGGAATAAAAAATCGAATCATTTGACATCTTCAGTCGTGTACTCACTTTCTAAGTCTTTAATCTCCTTTTACACGTAACATGAAAAATATGACAATGATGAAATTAACCTTTAATCTCTTAGACTTTTATCAGTGTAAGACCGTTCATCTCAGACCTCTCTCAAAACACTTGTCTAACTTTTCTCAAATCACTATACTCTTCCTATAAGATTCTATGTCCCTCCAAAATGGATGTTGATGGTTTTGTTGAAACTAGGTATAGAGGCACAGAATAGGGGTTAGAGAAATAGTAGTATTATTGCTCAGGGCACTAGGCCCAAAATAGTATGTACAAAGTCCAAGACACCAGCCCAAACTATGTTACCAATAGGACATGAACCCTGATATGCCAACTAGAAGGAGAAGACCATACCACTCAACCAAAGGAGTCTTTATGTTTCTTAGGTGTGTCTTAACCGGACATTCTCCCCCTTTTATACTGTTACTGGCTCCACCTACACCATCCACGTGTACATCATCCCAAGCAGACCAGCTCACACCAACAAGTGTCCTACGTTGTCGCGCCCTATCTCCTTGTTGCCACCATGCTGCCATGCAGCCAACACCCCAGACGTCATGCCATGCCTCGCCATGCTGCCATGCAACCAGCACCCCAGGCGTCGCGCCACGCTCGCCATGCAGCCATCCACCACCCACCATGCATCCATCTGTTACCCACCATGCAATCACCTGCCACCATGCAGCCATCGCCACCTTACAGCCATTCGCCACAATTATCCATGTGATCTCACATGGACTCATATAACAGGGTAGACTCACGGGAACACTATAGTGGTCAAATGAGTCCATCCTGTTATATTAGTGCGTGTGGACAAATCTGAGTCATTGAATGTTTCAGATCAATGATTTAGATGTTGCCAACTGTGCAACGGAACTGTGCAAGTGAAGTGCACAGTTGCACATTTACGAAATTGCACAATTAGCCAAATCTAAGCCATTGATCTCAAATATTCAATGGCTCAGATCTATTTACACAGACTCATATAACAGAGTGGACTCACGAAAACACTGACCGCGTGTGTGTGTGTGTATATATATATATATATATATATATATATATATATATATATATATAATCAAAATACTAAAAAAGATATTTCAAACATTGGGTCTAAAAAGTATCATTCAAAATTTTGAATACCCACAATAAAATTAAGATATTGCCAATATCGAAATATGACTTGATAAACACATATACCTATACCACTTGATATTATTATTACTCATCAGTAGCATTTGTAAGACAACAATATGAAGAAAACAATTGAATTTCAGATATTTTCATGTTTTCTTTTGTGAAAAGTGTTATAAAAAAATAAATATTAATGAATATATTTTCTTTCTATTTTTCTGATAAAAATGAAAACTGAAATTAATAAATTCGTTTTTATTCTTTCAAAAGACAGAAAAAAATCGTTTTTATTCTTTTACATTTTAACTTTTGGATGTACTTTAAAAAAAAAAAAAAAATTGAAGTATACAATGATGACATGCAAGGCCTACATAGCCTACATTTTCAACCTAATAATAAATACCATAGGTCCATTTTTCGGTACAATCATATAGTACAGTAGTCGTACTAATAATATTCTATATTGGGAGCAAATTTTACTTTAGTCGCTATTATAATATTTTTACATTTAGTCTTTTATTTTTATTTTTAATATTGATATATTACTGACTTTGAATAACTTTCACTTTAATCCTTGACTATTATGACATTGTCATATTTAGTCATATTTTTTTTTTTTTTTTCATATTACATTCATGATTTTGAGCAACTTTTATTTTTAATCCTCAACTATTATGACATTATCACATTTAATCTTATTCTTTTAATTTTGTCGTGTTAAATCCATGACTTTTCTTTGGTTGCCACCATTAATTTTCTGTTAAAAATTTTGTTAATTTACTGTTACAATTTAAATAATAAAGGAAAAAGTCATTACACATATCGTAACTCATATTTCAAACACATTACAAATATTATAAATATCAAATGATTTAATATCGTAACTCATATTTCTATGAGTTACGATATGTGCAAAGATCTTTTGTTATATGTTAATTTAAGAATATCACTGTGTCTCAATATCGTAACTCATGTTTCAAACATATTTCTATAAGGTACAATATTGAAACGCAGTGATATCTTTAAATTGACAAATAACAAAGAAAAAAATCCTTACCATATTGTAACTCATATTTATATAAGTTACAATATTACGTCATTTGATATTTACAACAATTCTAATGTGTTCAAAATATGAGTTACGATATGTGGGTAAGAATTTTTCCTTTGTTATTTGTCAATTCTAACAGTAAATTAATGAAATTTTTAACGGAAAACTAATGGTGACAATCAAATGAAAGTCATTGTTGTAATATGACAAAATTAAAAGAATAGGACTAAATATGGCAAGGCCACAATAGTCGGGGACTAAAAGTATAAGTTGTTTAAAGTCATGGATGTAATATGACAAAATTAAAAGAATAGGACTAAGTGTAGTAATGCCACAACAGTCGATGACTAAAGGTGGAAGTTGCTCAAAGTCAGGGATGTAATATGACAAAAATTAAAAGAATAGGACTAAATGTGACAATATCACAATAGTTGAGGACTAAAAGTGGAATTTGTTCCGATACATGATTATATTAATTATGAATAAGGGTCAAATAGGTCATTGAACTACACATCAAAATGCGCAAATTATGTTGTGGACTCGTGTCCACAATGCATTGTGGACATGATTCCAAAACGACGTCGTTTTCAGGGAAAATGTGGCATTAGTTAAAAAAAAAAATAAAAATTTGTCTCTGTTAACGGCGTTATTCGTTTGTGGCATTATGAATGTACAGTTATGAAATTATTAATCTACAGTTATAGAATTATGAATGTACAGTTATGAAATTATGAATGTGAGTTATGAAATTATGAACACAGAGCTCTGGCATTATGAACTTACAATTATGAACATAGAGTTCTAAAATTGTGAACATGGAGCTTCGAAAATTATGAATTTACAGTTATTGAATTATGAATGTACAGTTACGGAATTATGAATGTACAGTTATGCAATTATGAATGTACAGTTATGGAATTATGAACACAGAGCTCTGACATTATGAACTTACAATTATGAACATATAGTAATCAAATTATGAATATATGTTCCTATAACAAAGCGGTCTGAAATAAAAAAAAAAAAAATGGTGGGGAGATAACAGTGTCATTAACGACACCGTTACCGTGTCCACAATGCATGCTGGACACGAGTCCATAGCATAATGATTGTCAAAATGCAATTAGGTCATTGAACTAAAAAAAATGTGTAATTGGGTTCCTAAACTAACCAATTTCATGCAATTAGTCCAATTTGTACGTTTTTCAGGTTTTTAACAGGTAATCCCAAATTTAAAATATTTTTTAAAAATAATTATTTAAAACTAATTATTATTATTTTTTAAAAACGTTTGCCTGAGACGTCTCTGGCTATGGATTCGTCTCCATGGTCGGAGACGAAGAAAGCATTTTCGTCTTTGGCAGGAGGCGAAGAAACTTCTTCGTCTCCGGCGGCGATGTTATCTTTTTAAAAAAATTAAATAATTAAATTTAAATAATTATTTTAAAATATATATATTTTAGAAACTTGAAAAACTTATAAATTGGACTAATTGTATAAAATTTGTTAGTTTAGGGATCTAATTGCATGTTTTTTTGAGTTCAATAGTCTAATTGCATTTTAGTACGTAGTTTGATGACTTATTTGACCCGTATTCCTATTAATTATTATTAAAATTTATTACTAATATTTTTTTTTTGAATAACAAATAAACTCATAGTTATTGAATAAATTCCGTATTGTGATTTTAGTTGGTAAAGAATTACAAGTAAATTAACATAAATTGTCCATAATTATCAATAATTATTGAGACAATACATAATTGTATCATATACAATTAATATTATATATATATATATATATATATATATATATATATATATATATATATATATATATATATATATGCGCCTTCCCGTGCAGTCAGCGCGGCCGTTTAAAAAAAACACCAATAGTGTTAGGAAAATACACAACAATGAAATGAATAAATACATCAAAAAACGCATAACACACCCAAAAAAATGCGCCATAACTTCACACCCATAATTGTGCATTTCTGAATATTGTGTGGTGCTTTTATGCATACTTAATAGTTCGTTTTTGGCGGTACGTACCTATTTATATATTTTTTATTGTGCATTTCCTAACGTTATTAGTACATATTTGTATAATTATTGGTGCCTTTAAATTGACAGTATGTTAAGACGCGGCCGCACCTGAACTCTAATCTATACTACCGTTTCTTCATTTCAGCTTGAAAATATATAATTCATGAATATTTAATCGTGTTTTCTTTCTCATTTCAGCTTGAAAACATTATCCCCTTCACTAAATATATATAGTTATAAATGGAAATGTTTTTGTTAAATAAGAGGAAAATTTAATTTTTTTTTTTCCAGGTACCTGGTATTCGTCAACAATAAGACAGACAATCTGAATTTACTCCGAGGTACTATTTAAGATGAATATGCCACGTTCTTCACAGTCAGCACTTTGATTTTGGTGTATAAAATCCTGATTAATTTCTCTGCTTCGACTCACTCTTCTTTAGTCTTCACTTGGCTCTGCTCAGCATAAATTTCTGCCATTTTTGCAATAATAATGGCTTCTCAAAAAGTGGTTGGGTTTGTTGGCTTGGATGATATCAGCTTGGAATTGGCTTCTTCTCTACTCACTTCTGGCTATTCCATCCAAGCATTTGAGGTCTGGGTTTTTATTTATTTATTTTTGGAATCTTTGTTTACCCTTTATACTCAACGCTAAGAATAGAAATGAAATTTTCATGATTTCTTAGGGTGCGTGATCTTACCTGTTCTGGGGTTTTAGATTGTAGGTTATCTGAATTGGATTGCATGGGATTATTCAGAGTTGTAGATATAAAAGAATCACCACTTAGATCAGTAAACGGGTTAGTTGAGCATTTAATGAACATTGAGATCAAGAAAGTAAACGTTGTACTCAATCATTTTAGCCAACATTTGATTTGAATGATAGTTTTATCAATTAAGAGATGTGGGAATGGTTTGTTGGTCAGAAGTACTATGATTTTGGAAAGTGTTGTACTGTCAATTATTGGGTGAAATAATTGCATCAAAATAAATTGGTTTTCTATGGTCAAGTTCATCACTGAAGTTCCCAAAAAAAGAGGAAAGGCCAAATGCTTGGTGTAATGAACAATTGTTGCTTCAATGAGATTGAGAAGAATATTTGATTTACAATGCAGCAGTCTTTATTTCTAGTTTTCTACTTCTTTCTCTTAAAGATTTTAAGGTCATCTGAGTAGTGCTGCAAGTGTTCTCGAGGAAGGGAGCTTTAGAAGGACTAAACGAATCTGTTGTCTTGTCATTGTTTTTCTTTCATGATGCTGGTGCACTATTAAGTTGAAGAGATTAAAGATTTGTTGATACTTAATGCCCGGAAAGATATAATTACATAATGTTAAGTTGCCTTCTGCTTTGTACAGTTCGGCAGTATAAATAATCCATATTGCTCAACAGCCTAACCTTATAGCACCCAGATTTCTATATTCTTACATGATTTGAAGTTGCCCAACTTATCTATCTTCTTTGGGCAATATATAGAATAATAGTCTATCAATATACAGTACTCTTCGATTCATGTTTGTCTGCAAGTACTCATGTGCATCTCTTTCTGGTTGATCTGTTTAAGAATGGTACTCTTTCACATATAATTAACTTTCTTTTTTATTCAACATGGTTTTACGACAGACGTTCAGTCCTTTGATTGATAAGTTCTCAAAACTGGGTGGCAAAGTATGTGAAAATCCAACTGAGGCAGGGAAAGGTGAGATATAGTGTTTTCATTTATGTAGTTAATTACTCCGTAATATTTTGCTTTTTGTACTTCTTTCCTCATAAATTATGTGCTTGATGTGGTCATAATTATCTACTAAGACAATGAATTATATATCATTATTCTTGATTTGCTTAAATAAGGAGTACAAAACGTTATGATGTATAAGCTGACTTCTTGTTTCTGCCATTCGTTTCTTCTTCTTTGAAAATTCTACTAGTTGTTGACTCGAGTAGAAATTAGTTAAACTTTGGTGATACCATGTGGCACAAAAGATGCACTAAAATAGAGCTAGATATTCCCCCATCATCCTTAAATTGATATAAGTTTTATCAAACAACCAGTTGGATACAGGAATCATATGGAAGGCCAAATAAAAGAAATCACTTACTTTGCCAATTACTCTGCACAACTATACATAATTTTTGTGCTCCAATTACTCTGTACATTCATACATAATTATGTGCTTCATTTACAGATATAAAAAAAAAATAGGATAGTTGTTTCTGGAACCTCTATTTCCATCCTATCTTTTAAATATTAAAAGATAAAACCTTCATATTTACTCAAAAAAAAAAAAAAATCAAAATTTGTGGATATTATGTGCATGTGTGACTATAAAAGAAGTTGCTACAAGCCTACAACTAAATACCCTTGAATTTTTTTTAAAATTTTTCCTGAATGTAGGAGTAGCTGCTTTGGTCATATTGCTATCTCATGCTGATCAAGTTAAAGATGTAGTCTTTGGTCATGAGGGTGTTTTAAAAGGTAAGTGTTGATCTTCCCAAAATATAAATATAATTTTTCTGTTTACCGTGTTATGGGTTTTATTAAGGTGCATCTGTTTTCATATTTTTTGAAAAGGGATAAGCAAAGATGCAGTGATCATCCTCCATTCAACTATATCACCTGCAGATGTCCAGAAGCTGGGTATAAGTCTAAAAGGTAAATTTCTACATTGAGCTCCTATTACTTCCCTTTTGGTGTCCAACTGGGATGGCATTTTAGATTTGATTCTTGGAGAATTACTAGACTTTTAAATGATACCTTTTCTAAAGTTACAGTTAACACACTCTGATAAGCAGAAAATGCCAATATTCTTTTTGTGCATGTAGAACCTATTAGTACTCAGATATATTATTTGCCTCAAAATAATCACAGATAAAAAGGCCAAGATGAAAAACGTAACCAATTTTGCAATGGGTGTCTAAATTTTCTGATGGCTGGGATAATCTGCATTGAATTTCTATCAAATTATGGCTAGAGTTTTGGCTGACTTTTGAAGCCTTCATCTTTCTTTTTTCTCTTGCAGAGAACTATGAGATAGATTTTTTTGTTGACATGTATGTCTCAAAGGCAGTTTCAGAAGATTTGAATGGGAAATTAATGGTAAAGTGTACAAGTTTCCCCCACCCCCTCTTAACTGTTTATTTTGGGGTTGATTTTCTTCTTATATCTTTGATGTTCAGATCATTTCCTCAGGAGGGTCAGAGTCCATTTATAGAGCACAGCCTATTCTTTCTGGTATGTGTGTTTGTCAGAAATAATTTTAAATTAGTCTTTAACCTTTTAGTCACGCAAAGTGCATATCTGGATGACACCCATTTTTTATTTGACAGCAATGTGTGGAAAACTTTACATCTTTGAAGGTGAACTTGGTGCTGGAAGGTATGTTTTCCTTTTGGATTCTCCTGAGTAATGAAAAAATTTCATAGACATGAAAATGGGTAAATTTAACAAGTTTTTATGTGTTATGGAGTTATATGCTCAATGATAAGGTGATATTATACCAAGATAAGTAAAATGTAACACAGAAACATATATAAATTCATAATAGCAACTTATGGGATAATTATAGTGATGGGTAAACATATGCTTTATTTTTCCCTTGCAGCAAAAGTAAAATGGTGATTGAACTTCTTGAGGGAATTCATTTTGTTGCCTCTATTGAGGCCATTTCTCTTGGTACTCAAGCCGGGATTCATCCATGGATAATTTATGATATTATATCTAATGCTGCTGGAAACTCATGGTAAGTTAATAAGTAGATGCTTGTCAGCTCCTCTTCAAGAATTCTGAGAAATATTGCTATTTGCTGCATCATAACATATATATTGCTGTTTTGTGTTGCTCTATTTTGTAAATAGTACCAGAGATTTCTTGAGCAGGACTTTGCAGCTTCTGAACTCCCTTAGAGATAGCCATTACTTTTTCTTTAGTTCCATTTCATAGATGACCTGACCATGCTAATTGAATTATTGGAACTCAAGCTTTTTATGCTATTAATGATTCTTTTGATGTTTGTCCAAAAATATGCAGGGTTTTCAAAAACTATGTTCCCCAGTTATTAAAGGGTAGCCAAACAAAACATCATTTCCTTGATGTCCTTATTCAGAATTTGGTAAGACTGGTTTTGTTTGTTTGTTTGTTTTTTTTCATCAGATTCAGATATAGTTCCTTTCTATATATATTGATCAGACCATCAACTTGGGTATTTTCAATGAAATCTCAAATTTCTGTCAACTTCCTATATGCCCTAGTAATTCCCTTTTTTTTTTTTTTGGCATTTCAGGGGACTGTTTTAGACGTGGCAAAGTCAATGGTGTTCCCTATTCCCCTTTTGACAGTTGCCTATCAACAACTTGTAGCAGGTAAGTATGCAGTTCTACTTTTCTTTTCTATCACATTATGCTACGTGTGTTTTTTGGTCTAGTTCTATCCTTGATGGTTGTTTCCTTTTTGCAGGATTCTCACAGGGGAAAGAAGATGATTCGTTGCTCAAGGTCATATGTTTTCGGCCATTAGAGAGGAATTTTCTTATAGAAGCTTCTCTATGCTAAACAAACATTATGTTACAGGTTTGTGAGCTGTTACTTGGTGTAAACATCAGTGAAGCAGTCAATGCTGAAAGCTACCGTCCTGAGGAGCTGGCTGCTCAACTTACTGCCAGTTCAGATTCTGTGAAACGAATTGGTTTTGTTGGCCTTGGAGCAATGGGATTCGGCATGGCAACTCACCTTTTGAAATCAAATTTCTCCGTCCTTGGTTTTGATGTAATGTGACCCTTTCATTCGTTGTAATACTAGATCCTTGCCCAGTAATGCATAACAAGTGTATTTACGGACATAAAATATAGGCTTTTGTTTTTTCATGAGATCTACATGTCTTTCATGGCATTAGTATTTTTATGATGTTTCTGAAACTCATAGTCATGAATTTAATGATTTTCTTTTTCAAATTAGGTATATAAACCGACACTCTCTCGATTTGCAAATGAAGGTGGCTTGATTGGTGGCACTCCAGCTGAAGTATCACAAGGTAATTGGCACTGTATATTCAAGCTATTGGCTGTTCCAACTAAAACACATTTTCTGGTGCTTATAAGGATTATGTTACTATCTTCACCTTTAGAAATTCTTGATTCTAATATTTTTATTCTTTCAGATGTTGATGTGCTTGTTATAATGGTCACCAATGAAGCTCAAGCTGAAAGTGTTCTTTATGGTGAAAGTGGTGCAGTGTCAGGTTATATCCGTTTTTCGTTTTATATGGAGTAATTATTATTATTATTATTATTTTTTATTTTATTTTATTTTTATTTTTTTTTTTGTAAGTGGGACTAACTTTGTCTGTTGCTGTTAAAAGCACTTCCATCTGGAGCATCTATTATCCTTTGCTCCACGGTTTCTCCGGCATTTGTCAGCCAACTGGAGCGGCGATTACAAAGTATGTTATTCTATTCCAAATCTACATCTGATGCAACTAAAAATATATGCAATTGACATCTAGTGACAGTTTTGATTTACTTCTGTTTATCTGAAAATTCCAAAACCCTGCCAATATTTGCCTAATCATTCGCTTTATTTCCATTTGTTGAATATTCGGTTTATGTGATACTTTAGATGTCCTCATTTTTCATTTTCATGTATTCATTATATTCTGCTCATTTGTCATTTTTTTCATTGTCACATAACACATTTGAAAATTTCCAAGATGAACAGAGGAATTTGAAATTAGTGGATGCTCCAGTTTCTGGTGGTGTAAAGAGGGCCTCTGATGGAACACTTACGGTATGGGAATGAATTTTTAGTTTTCAATATATGAAGAATTTTCTATAAATTATCACCTATAAAAATTTTGGAATTTCCTTACCTGAAACTTACAAGGGGTGACGTTGATATTAGATGATGGCATCAGGTACAGAAGAAGCTCTCAAGCACACTGGTAGTGTCCTTTCTGGTAAGCAAGATTCTCCCCTCCCTCCCTCCATTTCCCAAAATAATTTATTTTAATACACAGAGAACTTTTCATGATTTATTGACTGTTATTTGCTGTTTGAACAGCGTTAAGTGAAAAGCTTTATGTTATAAATGGAGGCTGTGGAGCTGGAAGGTACCTTTGTTTTTTGCTGTACTTTTATGCATGATCTTTTCTTGATGGTGGCATGTGGGTTCATTTGGATGTGTAAATCTGTGTTTGTACTATGTGAAAATTTTGATAAAACTTATTTGACTTCACCTGCACTAACTACTGCTGTTTAAATTCTTACTAGTGCTGTAAAAATGGTAAATCAACTACTTGCTGGAGTTCATATTGCATCAGCAGCTGAGGCAATGGCATTTGGTGCACGATTGGGTCTAAATACACGATTGTTGTTTGATGTCATCACAAATAGCGCAGGAACATCTTGGTACTATTGTGCTCCATAATTTGTTTGATATGTTTTGCTAATGAAAATGTTATCAAGGCACTCAGATCTTAGATTGAATGAATGCAGAATGAAATTGCTTCTTCGGGTTTCCTAATACCGTGCTTAGTTAGGAAAGCATGGATACTTAGACAAGAAAGTTTGATCCCTGAATACCTTTGAAGATAATTTACTGAAAATTCTTTTGCTTTTGATATGTGTAGACTCATCACAATAAGATTCCGAAGTTCACATAATCTTATCTCCATAAATTCTCGTGCCCAATTGTTGGTTTTTCAGCCCTGATATGACTATAATGATATACCTTTTGGGTGCTCTAGAGACTATGCTCAAGCATTGCCATTTTCAAGCATTACTTTTCGGAGCTGTCAAACATTTTGGTGCTTTGTTTTACTGAGTAAAGTTTGGATATATTGCAGGATGTTTGAGAATCGTACTCCACACATGATAGAGAATGATTATACACCACTGTCTGCACTTAATATCTTTGTAAAGGATTTGGTGAGGGTTCTACATATACATGAAGCATGTTAGATTAATTAGAGCTTATTTTAAGGCTGAATTACTTCAATTCTCTTGTTTTCCATTTCTCCAGAAAATGGAGAATTTCTCCAGTTAGTAAATACACCCTTAAAGTTTCAAAGCAACTGATATTATTTCTGTACAGGGCATTGTGTCCCGTGAATGCTCATCACGAAGAGTCCCACTTCATCTTTCCAATCTTGCACACCAATTATTCTTGGCAGGTCAGTTCAATACTTTTTCAAGTTATATTTGGTAGTTATTGTGACTCCTGGCCGGTTTTTGCCACTGATGCAGCTCTTGTGGTTGGGCCTTCAGGATTTAACAAATTTGGGGCCTTCCAGATTTGTGTAATTGCAACCAAAATACAGATTTTCACATAAATATCTGTTCTTTTGTACTAATCAAACATATGAATAGATGGTACTTTTTGACTTTCCTATATATATATATATATATATATATATATATATATATATATATATATATATATATATATATATTTCTATATATATATATATATATATATTTCTATATATATATATATATATATATATATATATATATATATATATATATATATATTTCTAATCAGGTGAGAACCAACGTTAACCTGCGAACTACGAACTTGTGAAGGATTGCACTGCAACTACTACATGATTGCATTGCTATGGCTCCCAGACATGCCTGAAGGACCTTGCGGTGCAATCGTATCCGGGTGCGTACAATCATGTAGTAATTGTGGTGCAATCCTTTACAAGTTCTCAGGTTAAGGTTGGTTCTCACCTGATTATGGACCTATATATATATATAATCTTCAATGCTGATAGAAAACAGTATCTGATAAGTCATGAATAATCAAATTCATTCAACTGATACAAATAAAAAAAATGTTTCATGGTAGGTTCTGCTGCTGGATGGGGTAGAATAGATGATGCTGGTGTTGTGAAGGTATGGACAGAAACTGCTTGTGAGGAAAAAAAAAAATATAATATTTAGCATAATTTTAGTAATGAAATATGCTCAAAATATCCGAGTTTTTCCTTCGATAAGCATTTGATGTGCCTGATAAGTTTGTTACATCGCAATTTACTTTCTGAGGTAGAAGTTAAATTATTTCTATTTGCTGTTCTATGACGTGGATTGTTCTCATGTCTTTCTCATTTCCATATAATTGTACAGGTGTATGAAACTCTGACTGGAGTAACTGTTGAAGGGAAATCTCCAGTTCTCAGTAAAGAATCAGTCCTAAATTCCCTTCCACCTGAGTGGCCTGAGGATCCCATCAATGATATATGCAAACTTACTGAAAATAGTTCCAAAACTTTGGTCGTTCTGGATGATGATCCAACTGGGACTCAAACTGTCCATGATATTGAGGTCTTGACGGAGTGGTAAGTGTTTCTTATGAAGTACAGGGATAAAAATATATTCCGAGATCTTTGGAGGTTGCAAAGCGCTTCAATAGACTCATTGACATTGAATGAATATCGAATTGTGGAAAAAAAAATCCAAAATACTGACTTCAAAACTGTTGAAAATGCAACTACATACACTTAAAAAAATTGTAAATGTTGAAACATAAATGGACAAAAATAGGTAATCAGCTAGCTAGGACAGGGAAAAAGCAAATCAAGAATTGAAGTTAAAATAGGCGTGGATGTATAACTAATGCTAAGCAACTGAATCTTGAAACCAACAGGACAAGTAACAGTTTTGCTGTTTAATCTGTTTTATATATAAATATTTTCAGGAGTATTGGATCACTTGTTGAAGAGTTCAGAAAAAAGCCTAAATGCTTCTTCATTTTGACCAACTCTAGGGCATTAAGTTCTGAGAAGGTGCAAAAGCTTCTAAGAAGTTACAATTTGGAAAATTTGTTATGTTTTTGTAATGATTTTCTGAATAAAGTATGCTTTTGTTTGCAATGAGACTGTTGACAGGCAAGTACACTGATAGCCGATATCTGTAGAAACTTAAAGACTGCAGCTAAATCAGTTGAGAATGCTGACTACACAGTAGTGCTGAGGGGTGATTCTACTTTACGTGGTCATTTTCCTGAGGCAAGTTCTAGGCCATATCAGGTCAGATTTATGCTTTCATTTCTTAACTCACTTGACAAAAAATGGACAATTTATTATGTTCAGGAACCAGATGCTGCTGTTTCTGTACTGGATGAGATGGATGCATGGATAATATGCCCATTTTTCCTGCAAGGAGGCCGTTACACTATAGGAGATATACACTATGTTGCAGACTCTGATAGGTACTTTTTACTCTTTACAGAATCTGCCCTTATTTGATGAGTGTATATACTGCTTAACGAGCTTGTTCCCTACAGACTTATTCCTGCAGGTGAGACGGAATTTGCTAAAGATGCTGCTTTTGGCTATAAATCTTCTAACCTTCGTGAGGTCCATACCTTTCCTTGTTTAGGAGAAACAATTTAGTGGTAAATATTTACTTTAATTGATTACTTATTATTTGATGTTTATTTAATATTATAGTGGGTGGAAGAGAAAACTAGAGGACGCATCCCAGCTGGAACTGTTTCATCTATTACTATCCAGCTTTTGAGAAAAGGCGGGCCAAATGCTGTTTGTGAACATCTCTGCAGTTTGAAGAAGGTATAAACCACAATCCTCTTTTGTCAAGTTTCACATGGCTCTAATGTAATTGCGTCATATTTCTTTGTTTTTTGAAGTGCATGTAAAGTTTGGATTAGCTAACAGGCTCTGATACCATGATAGAAACCAAGATTGGGCCAGGGTCACTCAACTGGGCTATAATACATATGGGTCAAACCACACTAAAAGATTGAATCCAACCAATTAGCTAGTCTAACCTATGGCCTAAGGCCCATATGTTCTCTCTTATTTTATCAATGTGGGACTCTTAACATGCTTCATATATTTACACTTTGAAACAGGGCACAACATGTATAGTCAATGCTGCCAGTGACCGGGATGTTGCTGTATTTGCAGCTGGGATGCTTCAGGTTCTCTACACTCTTTACTTTATATTTTTATGGAAGAATTATTTTACTGTTATCGTCCCTATGAGAATTATAAACATTTATTTCTATTTTCCTGGGTTATAGGCAGAATTGAAAGGAAAACATTTCTTGTGCCGGACTGCTGCTAGTTTTGTTTCTGCTCGGGTGGGAATTAGACAAATACCTCCAATTTCACCCAATGATGTTGGAATAAATAGGGAAAAGAGTGGTGGACTTATCGTTGTGGGTTCATATGTTCCAAAAACGACAAAGCAGGTGAAAATGGTTCGCTGGATTTGTTTTCTGTTCCTGTGACATCTAAAATATTTATTTTCATTGCTTAATTTTCCATTCCACAGGTTGAAGAACTGAAACTGCAATTTGGTAATGTGCTGAAGACAATAGAGGTAGCCTAAAATGCCTAATATTTTTCCCCGAATGCTGTGTGTTGAAATTGAGGGATTGATAGGTCTGGCGGGTGGAGAATAACCACCACCCGCCAGTTAGGCGGAAGCAAAATATGTGAGAACCAAAGAACAAGAGAATAAAGAGAATATATTATAATGAAAGATTACAATAGATTGTCTCTCTTAATGTATATTCTATACTTCTATGGACCTCTATATATACTAAACTAGATACTAAATTAGTCCTAATAGGAATAGAAAACTACTAATAAGAATAGGAAACTAAGACAACTTTCCTATTATTCAACACTCCCCCTCAAGCTGGAACATCTGAAGTTCCAAGCTTGGATTAAAACAAGCACTCTACCTCACTCAAAATTACAAGTGAAAATTAAATGCAACTAGAGGATAACAATGCGAGATGGCTTCGGAGGGACAATGCAACCCTTGGGAATGAACACACCAGGGGCAAAGCTTGTCATGAACATCCTTGGGAATGGAGGCACCAAGGGAAAACACGAACACCATCACAACAATATAAGCACTCGAGGATGGATGACTTCAAAAGAGATTGCGCTATGTCTGACCCTTCCTTGGGAAGAAGACGAAGGCACCAAGAACGGAGCTGAACACAATCCTTGGGAATAAAGACAAAGACACCAAGGACGAAGCTAAACACGATCTTGGGAATGAACACACCGAGGACAGAATTGAACATGAACCTCGGGAATGAAGATGAACACACAAAGGATAGAGTTAAACATGAACAACCTCCCGATAACACAAGAGAGCGGTAGAGGCAGAAAGGGAGCAAAGAATAGCAAAGGGAGCCCATAGTAGATAAAATAGCAAATAATAGTAAATGATAGCACACCAATTGTAGATAGTCACACTCCCCCTTACTTGAAACATGGGAAATAATCAAAGGCCTTATAGTAGTGCTGAAACTGATCATCCATGGGATAAGGCATACCGGAGATAAAGAAACAAACACGGTTATACCAAAACACAAACACCATGGGAAAATGTTCGGCAACAAACCCAAAGAAGCTTTCAAATTTCACCAAAAAATCCAAAAATGGCAAGTGACCATTGACCGGCGAAGTTGACCGGCGTTGACTGTCGACTGCGGAAGATTGGGAAACACAGATAGATGCGTCTCCTCGGGACGAATCCAATGGTGGCAACGAAGTCTCGAACGGAGATCGGAGCAGAGAGATCTGGCCGGAAAACGATAGCAGATCTCGGCGGCGGTGGTGGCGCGTGCGACGACGAATGGCGACCGAATTTCTGCTGCAGGCTTGCGACGACGTTCCGGTGAAGGCTGTGGTGTTAGTTGCTTTGAACAACAACTAGAAGTGCGTCGGAATGAGAGAAAACAGTGGCGACAGTGGTTACCCTCCGGTGGCGGCAGCGGCGGCGGAAAGCTAGGGTTTTAATATTTGAAGAAAAACAGCCTAGGAAAGTAGGCTCTGATACCATGTTGAAATTGAGGGATTGATAGGTCTGGCGGGTGGAGAATAACCACCACCCGCCAGTTAGGCGGAAGCAAAATATGTGAGAACCAAAGAACAAGAGAATAAAGAGAATATATTATAATGAAAGATTACAATAGATTGTCTCTCTTAATGTATATTCTATACTAAAATGGACCTCTATATATACTAAACTAGATACTAAATTAGTCCTAATAGGAATAGGAAACTACTAATAAGAATAGGAAACTAAGACAACTTTCCTATTATTCAACACTGTGAAAGTCTTACCTATTTTTCGATATCTGAGTTTTTCATAGTGACCTCAATTTGCCCTTTCTGTAACCTTATAGATTTCAGTTGATAGAGTTGCCATGAAGACATCAAAAGAGAGGGAGGAAGAAATCAATCGAACAGCTGAAATGGCAGATGTTTTTCTTAAAAGTCGTAAAGACACTCTTATAATGACCAGCCGAGAGCTTATTACGGGGAAAAGTAATTTTTCCTCGTCTGCTTCTCTTTCCATTCAATTTTTTTTTTTTTTTCTAATATTTAATTCCTAAATGTCGTGCCCGCATTATGCACATTTGTGACTTCTGCTAATTTTCCGTTATGGAAAACCAGCTGCTTCTGAGAGTTTGGAGATCAATTTCAAGGTCAGTTCTGCACTGGTGGAGATCGTTCAGCGGATAACCACAAGACCTCGTTACATAATTGCAAAGGTAGTTGAGTAGTTCTGTTCATTTAATTCTAATTACTTTTTCTAGTGATTCTAATTAAGGGCCGAGATTTGCGTTTCATGAGTATCTCAGGGCGGAATCACCTCATCAGATATAGCAACAAAAGCTCTTGAAGCAAAACGTGCCAAAATCGTTGGACAAGCCCTTGCTGGTATTCCTTTGTGGCAGTTAGGTCCAGAAAGCAGACATCCTGAAGTTCCATATATTGTTTTTCCTGGTACTTTTGGCTCTTTAATAGTCACAGTTTTGTTCTCTATAATTTTCCCTTTTTTTTTTTGGTCAGACCACGAGGTGTCCTAAGCAGACCCTAACTGTAGGAGGCACCTTTAAGCCCCTATCATATTTAAACTAATCCCCAATGTTGAAAAAATCGCTAGGCGCCCTCGGACCGCCTAGCGCCTAGGCGCGATTTTTGCAACACTGCTAATCCCTGTTCGCACCAGGCCGACCCAATTAAGGGGCAAAGTGCTGGCCAGATTGGTTTTTCCATACGAGAGGGGGTTCGAACTCCCAACCTCTCTTAAGGGACAAGAGTGCACGGCCACTCACGCCAACCAAGCTGGTTAATTTTCCCTTTTAAAAAAAAAAAATTGTTTTGACTTGTAAATGCCTTCCTTAGGGAATGTTGGTGACAGTAAAGCTCTGGCAGAGGTAGTGAAACGGTGGGCTCATCCGGGCAGACTTTCAACTAGAGAACTTCTTACGGTAAGATTTCTGTAACATGAAAAGTTCACGTTTTCTTTCTACTCAAGTTCTCTAAGAACGTGTTTCCTGCAAATAGAATGCTGAAAAGGGTGAATATGCTCTCGGTGCTTTCAATGTCTATAACATGGAAGGAGTTGAAGCAGTTGTTGCTGCAGCAGAGGATGAAAAGAGTCCCGCTATTTTACAGGTTTAAATGCTCACATTCAGACCGTAAATTTCAAGATTTCAATTCTACCAAGGCCTTTCTATAGTGTTTGCGATTTGTAGTGACATACTAAAAGATGCTTAAACGTAAAGCAACACTAAAGATGAAAGTTTTATATTTATATTCCTTTTAGATGATATTCCTTTAAACTCTTATATTTCTTTTCTAGATCCACCCGAGTGCCTTCAAGGAAGGAGGAATTCCGCTCGTTGCATGCTGTATAGCGGCTGCAGCACATGCTACCGTAAGTGGCATTTTCCAGCTGGTTGAAGAAAGTTGAATATAAAAACCCGAGTTCAAAATTATGTATATGATTAAGTTATGCGTTTATGTGTTGGTACTGGCTGCGTATCAGATATGTTTCAAATTAAGAATGCTTCTTGCAAGTATAATTCACAAGTGTTATTGACAGGTTCCTATTACGGTTCACTTTGACCATGGAAGTTCGAAGCAAGAGTTGTTGGAAGCTATTGAGATGGTAAGTTTCTCGTTTGTTTCTTCGATCCAAGTCTTCTCTTGGGCTCGAGCTCGATAAGTGTGGGTGTAATTAATTGGCTTCTATTTTGCAGGGATTTGATTCAGTCATGGTTGATGGTTCACACCTGCCATTAGAAGAGAACACTCCTTACACAAAGTACATCTCTGCTTTGGCACACTCGAAAAATTTATTGGTCGAAGCTGAGTTGGGAAGATTGTCGGGTACAGAAGATGACTTGACTGTGGAAGATTACGAAGCTAAGCTGACCGATGTCAATCAGGTGCTCTTTTAATACTCGTAGTTTATGGAATACGGTCCATTGCTAATATCATCCATCCTTCTGCATCTGATTTTCAGGCTAATGACTTCATTGAGGCCACGGGCATAGATGCGTTGGCAGTGTGCATCGGAAATGTCCATGGGAAATACCCTCCAAGCGGCCCAAATCTCAGACTCGATTTGCTTAAGGTCAATCACACTTCTCGTCTTTTCTTTTCCTTCTTTGTATCTCAAATCCCATAAAGGCTGTATTAGTTGTGTTTGGCATGGTTATCAAGGAAACAATTGAGATTTTAAATTTTTTTCCAAGTTCACCCATAAAGGTTGCATTAGAAGTACAATCAAATGGGACCCACCAAGTGAAAAAGTTAAAAAGGGTAATCTAAAAGGACAAAAGACGCCAAGGACCTTGTGGTCTAGTGGCACCAAATGCTCTCCTATATGGGTTGTGGGTTCGAGCCTCAGTGGAGCCTCTGTTACAGATACTGCATTGTAACAGAGTCAACAGTACTCCAAAAAAAAAAAAGACAAAAGACAAAATGCACAAAGGTGTAAGTTAGAAACATAAAAGTTGTCCACAAAAGGGGAAATCCCTCCCCCGAGGGCCCCACACTCCGGCCTGACAGGATTGTGGATGAGTAAATCACTGTGACTCAGTGGTCCATTAGGTGGGAGGTCCAGTGCCTGGTAGGATTATGGAACTCCCACACTGTGGTCTGCGGCTGCTAAGGCTTGAACTTGTGACCTTGTCCACAATCTACCGTCCAGGAACCAAAAGTATGCATTATTTTGGGATGTACTAAACAGGAAAATAAGACAGCCATTATGGGAAGGAGGGAGTAAAAGTTTCCTCCACCCCATTGTAAGTGTCGATTACTGTTTTTTGTGTTAGTTTACTTGAGTTTGGCTTAAACTTTGATCCTGGTAAGTTCAACTTTCGAAAAAAAATGGATATTTTTGCTTTAAAATGACATGCCCCCGAATGCTGATCCTTGCCTCTGTATTGTCTGTCTGTCCAGGATCTCTATGATTTGTGTTCGAAGAAAGGAGTTCATCTCGTTCTCCATGGAGCGTCTGGCTTGTCAAAGGAAATCATCGAGGTACACATAACAAACCCCTAAATTTCACCTCGACTAGACATTCATTCCAAGACACCTCCTCGAATTTCAAATGCAATGTTGTTAAAAATGGTCTGAACTCGGTTTGTTCCACTGCTACACCCAGGAATGCATAAAGCTCGGGGTGAGAAAGTTCAACGTGAATACTGAGGTGCGGAAGGCTTACATGGAAACGCTGAGTAGCCCCAAGAAGGACCTCGTTCACGTGATGAACTCTGCGAAGGAAGCCATGAAGGCCGTGGTTGCAGAGAAAATGCGTCTGTTTGGCTCATCGGGAAAAGCATATTGAACGCTCCATTGTATATCGAGGCACAGTGAAGGTGACGGTTAATGCACCCCGGTGCTTGATCTCTCCTCGAACTAAAACACCGGTTAATAATGTCAATAATTCTTTGAATAATAGGATGTCAATAATTCTTTGAATAATAGGATGCTGAATTCAACCTGGCTACTGGGAGCTCTGGTGTTTAGTTCATGATTCATTGTTGGACTTTAAATTTTCCTTCTTTAATTTGTTCTCAGGATCATATGATCTTCTTCAGCCAATTGTGTTTCTGCCTGCTATTCATGTCTTTACTTCCCAACCATCTTCACAAAATTCTAAATTTCTCCAAAATTTTCAATTTCGGGTAATGTTCAATTTCCATCATTTGCACATATATTTCAAAATTCTCAATTTGCAGGGTCTTTCACAATTTTCAATCAACATACAAAGTGTCCAATTTTCAGGTAACATGTAATTTTCTCAATTTGCGCCTTTTTCTACACAAGGCCAAAATGATGTAACAATTATTCTACCACCGGCCAACTCGGAAAAGTCATCGACAAGTTTGGAGTATAGAGGGTGACAAAATGTTTATACGAATAAGATCAAAAAGTTGGCAATGACTAAAAGGGTATAACATTTTGGAAGCGCGTTAAAAAATATTACGTCAATCACCCTAAAGGTGAGCCATGGAGAACTCACCAAAGATTAAAGACGCATTGGGGTCTTATTCGTTCTAAAACCTTTGAGTTATGCAATTTATTGTAAGTTACAAGGAATGTGCTCTAGCGGTGCTAGCGACGGGAATGTTATCCACGTGTTACCGAGGAGTACAAACAAATATATGGTCAAGACAAATTTGGCTACGAACATGTATGGGTCATAGTTAAAGACCTTTCATGCTGGGTACCCTCGTTTGTAGCTCGTCAACTATCTTTGAGTAAATCATCCACCAATTAAACATCAAGCGCCATTGTAGAAGGCAGTGGAGATGGTAGTAGCGAAGAAGTTTTTTCTTGACCAATGAGGAAAATGCAGTGAAGCGAAAAGTCAAAGAACACTACACCAACAATGATGATGATGATGATGCTATCCAAGCATCGTTACAAAAAAAAACAAAAAAAAAAACAAAAAAAAACAAAAAAAAACAAAAACAAATGTTGGAAAGATATTAAAAAAAAAAATGAAATTGCAACACGGCAAAAGGAATGATAGGATTTTGCAAACATATGCAAAAGATATTCAATTGAGAGAATATGATATATTGATGAAGGAAACATCGGAGACGATGGAAGATCAACTTGCTACATACTTACAGTGTTGTAATGATATTAGATAACGTAGGCAAACTCAACCTCCGTCATAGTGTTTTTTTTTTTAATATTGTTTTATTAAATGTAGTAGGTGATATTTTTAAAATTTTCTTATTTGTAATTTTATTTTTAATTTTATATTATTTGTAATTTTATTTACTTTATTTGCAATTTAATTTTAATTTTATTATATTATTTTAAATGTAGTAGATGATAATATTATATTTGCTACACATATATTTATAAAATAGCATTATTTCATATATTTATAAAATAAAAAAAAAAAAAAAATATATATATATATAGAGGAAGGTTCAAGTGCGGCAGTGCGCTTAGGTGCGGCGGTGCGATTAAATGTAGGCCATTAGATTAGATAAATTCAACGAATCACATTCATCCAGGCTTTTCCGATATTTTCGCGCACGTTCTCACACTACGCGAACTGCAAGGTTAAAGTCGTCATTGGGCACCTGAATAGATCAAATCATAGTGTTGTGTGTTTTATGTTCGTTATTGGTGCATTATTAACCTTACTGTGGTGTATTTGAGGATTCGTGTTGGTGCCAAGTTTAGGTGCGCCCGCGCCTTCCCATGCGGTCAGTGTGTGTGTACTAATAGTTATACAAATATACACCATCCATGTTAGAAAATGCACACCAAAAAAACATGTCACAAATTAGATATGCATCACCAGAACACACCATTAGGTATGAATAAAAGCACCACACAGTGTTCAGAAATACACCATTGGGGTGGTGAGTTATATGGTGTATTTTTTGAGTGTGTTGTGTGTTTTTTGGTGTATTTGTGCATTTCATTGTGGTGTTTTTTCCTAACACTATTGGTGTCTTTTGTTAACACTGTTGGTGTATTCTGAGAAGCGGCCGATATAAATGACCACTACAATTACCATAACACCCCCCACTTATCAGGACACGCTTAAATCTTTAAATCTTCAGAAATTAGCCGCTGCCGTTAGATTAAGCAAAATGGACGATGCTGATATAACCGCACCGCCGCACCTAAAGTCACTGCCGCATTTGAGCGCTAATCTATATATATATATATATATATATATATATATATATATATAAATATAGAAAGAAAGAATGAGATTGAAATTCAATCTCATTCTTTCTTTGTGCATGCTGCCGTTGCAGCAACTATTCGTTGCTGCAACGGATAGTTGCTGCAACGGCAGCAACTATTTTTCGTTTTTTTTTTTAAAGATAAATTTAGCCTATAAATAGGGTAATACTTTTTTACATATGCATCTGCTCATATTACTCAAATTTTTACACTTCTATATCTACAATTTTCTTACTAGCAAAATGTCATCACTCCCTCTTAATGATATTAGTGATCTTGAAGATTCAATTGAAGAAGAAATGATGGCAAATATGTTTCGGTTGACTAAAATGTTACTTCAAAAACGTCAAAGTTCTTCCCAATTGAGAAAGAAAAGACGACATTTCAATGAAGGTATGTTTATTTTAATAAATTAAAATATAGTGGAGTAAAATGGTGGGTTCACAAAAAATTAAGAAAAAAAAAAAACCTAATACTAATAAGGAGAAGAGTTTTTTTAGATTGAGTGATACAATAGATGTAGGAGTCCGCAAAAAAAAAAAAAAAAAAAAAAAAAAAAAATCTTATTATTAAGGCTGAGTATCTCCAATTGGCATAGGTTTTGATGAGTTTTTTGCAGGTGTGACTAGGGAAGAGAAGCTGGAAGGAAATGGATACTACACCGACAATGATGATGATGTCACTGCTATCCAAGCATCGATACAAAAACAAATAAAAATGTTGGAAAGATGTTCACAAACAAATGCAAGAGATATCCAATTGAAAGAATATGATATATTGATGAAGGACACATCGGAGATGACGGAGGATCAACTTGCTATACATTTAGAGTATTGTAATGATATTAGACAACGTTGGCAAACTCAACCTCCACCATAGTTTTTTTATTTATATTGTTTTAAATGTAGTAGGTGATATTTTTTTTAATTTCCTTGTTTGTAATTTTTTAAAATTTTATATTCTTGTAATTTGTAATTTTATTTATATTGTTTTAAATGTAGTAGGTGGTAATATTATATTTGCTATATAATAACCTTTTTATAAAATAGCATTCATTCTTTATTTGTGCATGCTGCCGCAACGACAACTAACTCTTTTTTGTTTTTATATATTTTTTAATAAATTTAGCCTATAAATAGGGTAATACTTTTTCACATACATCTACTTATATTACTCTTTTTTTTTTTTTACACTTCAGCATCTACATTTTTCTTACTAGTAAAATCACTAAAATGTCATCACTCCCTCTTACTTGGCATCCCATGGATGATAATAGTAGTGATGATTCAACAAAGAAGAAATGATGGCAAACATATTGCAATTGACTAAAAAGCTACTTCAAAAACGTCAAGGTTATTCCCAACTGAGAAAGAAAAGACGACATTTCAATGTAGGTATGTTTATTTTAATTAATTAACATATAGTGGAGTAAAACAGTGGGTCCACAAAAATTTAAGAAAAAAAAAACTTAAAATTAATGAGAGGAATTTTTTAGATTAAGTGATATAGTGGATGATGAGGTGAATGTTGGGATCCACAAAAAATTTAGAGAAAAATTCTAATTATTGAGGCCACATCAATTGAGAATTTTATTTGGTTTTTGTCATACCCATGTAAGAAATAGAGGGAGGAGGAGAGAGAAAAGCAATGAAAAAAAAAAGAAGCAAAAACTAACCGTCAAAAAGGAGAAAAAGAATTAAAACTAGCAGCTATTTACGCGCCTAGCGCATTGCACGCGCCAATTAGGCGTAGCAGGTGCACAAAACGCGCACCTGGCAGCTTGTTTTTCTCCTTTCATTTCAAAGCTTGGGGCACACAAAAAATCTAAATTTGCAGGAATAAAAACCACCTCTCCCATCAGCCAAAAAATCATATTTTGGTTTTTTCTTCCTCAAAATCGAGCAAAAACCATTTATGTGGTTGCTCTAAGCATCTCCAATAGACATAGATTTTGAGAAGTTTTTGCATGTGTGACTATGAAAGAGAATATAGAAGGGAAGAGAAAAGAAAAGAAAAAAAAAAAGCAAAACAAAATCTGAAAAAAAAAAAAAAAAAACAAGAATGTCCGAATAAAAAAAATTACATTTTTAATATACTAAAAGTATATTATATGAGTACATAAAGTACATTATTTTGTATATTATTAAATAATGTACATTCAGTACACATACAATGTATTTTTTGTATATTAAACATTCTGTGAACAAAACGCCCCTTAAGAAATAACCATATAGGTCGGGCATGTAGGCTTGAAAGTCAATATAGTACATATACCATCATTATTCTATGGATCATGGTCTATATAAATGTGTAAATAAAAAAATTACATTTTTTATATACTAAAAGTATATTATATGTGTACAGTACATTATTTTGTAGACTATTAAATAATGTACATTCAGTACACATATAATATATTTTTTGTATATTAAAAATGTATCTTGTATTCATGATTCACATAGTTGCGTCACTTGTGTGGACCAAGTCTATAAAAATTTGTACATATAAGTCTAGGCTTATTTAATTTAATAGGTTTTAAAATAAGCCTTAGGCATTTTTATTAAAGAAGTTAGGTATATCAGTATCTGAACTTATGAAGTGGCCTAACCTATTTCAATCCTTACTAGCAATCTAGACTCCTAGTAAGCAAAAAATCGAAAACTTAGCTGCTAAAAAACTAATTGTGATTATCTTTTAGATTCTTGGATGATTTTGATTTTTTTTTTTTTTTTTTTTGAATTTAGTGACTTAATTGCTATTTTCAAATAATTTGATTATTTGTTTGTAGTTTATAAAAAAATAAAAAAAAATTGCAGAGATGAAGCTGTAAAGCAGGTAGGTCCGGAAGTAATGCAGAATGCGGATAACCTTTCTCCATCTCTCTGCTTCAGTTTCAGTTTTGATTCTCATACTGCTCCTTCGTTTTCCTCAGCAGAGAAAATATATATCTTCGCTGTCAACATTTCAGGAATTAAAAATGGCGGAGCCAAAGATCTTTGAACTCAACAATGGCACTACGCAAGTCAAAGTCTCCAATTTTGGGTGCACTATTCTCTCCTTGTCTGTACCAGATAAAGATGGTAACTCTATATCATTTGTTTTTTCTTTTCAATTGTGTTTTTAGTTTTTTATTTCTGAAAATCTAATCTCTATTTGATTTCTTTTTGGACTGGATTGTGAAGGGAAATTGGATGATGTGGTTCTCGGATTTGATACACTTGAACCCTATCTGGTTAGTGGCGTTTCAAGATTGGCTTCCTTTTCATGAATTCATTTGATTTGATTTGATTTGATTTTATGGTTTCTTAATTCAATAGGTTTTGATTTGGTGATTGGTGATGAGATTAATCTGGTGTTTGATTTGGTTTATTTTTGGTGGTTTTTCAGAAAGGAATGGCACCTTATTTTGGTTGCATTGTTGGCAGGGTAGCCAATAGGATCAAAGAAGGGAAGTTCACTCTTAATGGAGTTGAATATTCACTTGCAATTAACAATCCCCCTAACAGTCTACATGGTAGTAGTTCTCTGCTATCTCAAGAACTTCCATTAAATGTTTCACCTATGATCCATGAATTTGACATCTTTTTGTTTGCTTAATTGTTGTAGTATATGAGGGAAAAATCAAATGCTTGACCTCATATCCTGCATCCTTATATTTGCATTTCATACTTAAGTTTGGCATTCTAAGAAAATGAATATTGTGTGGAGGGATTCAAGATTCAAGCTAGTGATAATATTTTGAGAGCCTAGTATTTGACACCGAATGATGGACCCTCTCATGGCCGAGAATTAATGAACAATTTAAGAGGGAAATGTAGACACGGGAAGAAATTGCAGAGTATGAAGTTCTTAAAATTGGAAGTCTGGGATACAAGGCCAGTTTATGTCAAACCAGGAAGTGCATCATTTCACGGACATCTAAATTTTGGTGCTTATGTTGGAGTTAACTTTGCAAAAATAAATGTTTTCAGAACAATTCTTCTCATATGTTACATTGTTACCTGAGTTACACTTAATTCAATCGTTCAAATCATCTAGGCATGGCATCATCAGCATTTGTGGTACAAAATATGGAGTAATGGAGCCCACACGGGCTTAGTTAACTGGTTCAGTAGGCACTATTTGGAGCGAGAGACCAAGGTTCAAAACTTGGCAGTGTGGGGATTATGTCCAAAGTGGGCAGATTCCTAGTGCGTACCAGCATTTGGCTCTGTCTACTGAGCCATTAAATTACCATGATTTACATCCTCTCAAATACTTTGTCGGGTCGGGGTGTGGGAGGCCATTGGGGTTGGGGGGATTCAACCTTTTGGGGCAAAAATATGGAGTAATGGAGTACGGTTTATTATTTCAAAAACTATGTAGTTTGTGATTGCTTTCTTTTCCTTCATTTACTTGAACCCTTTTTTTCACTATTCTATTGAAGGTGGACAGAAGGGGTATGACAAGGTTGTATGGGAGGTTGTTGAACAGAAGCAGGGCGAAAGCCCCTCGATTACCTTTAAATATCAGAGTCATGATGGGGAGGAAGGTATGCACTATTCTCTGTCTCAGCTCTCATGAATGAATGCTTAATGGGAAATATTAGATGCTCATGATTGGTGATTTCCTCATTCCCTTGAACACAGGTTTCCCGGGAGATCTCTCTGTTACTGCGACATACACACTTACTTCTAAGACAACATTGAAGCTCGACATGGCAGCAGTTCCCGGGAATAAGCCTACTCCTGTCAACTTGGCTCAACACACATACTGGAACCTTGCCGGCCACAGTTCTGGGGACATTCTCGGACACACTGCTCAGCTATGGGCAAACCATGTTACTCCAATGGATCAAAACAGCATTCCAACTGGAGAAATATTGCCTGTCAAAGGCACCCCGTTTGACTTCACCACTGAAAAGGCAATTGGTCGTGACATCCAGCAGGTTGGTATAGGATACGACGACAACTATGTGCTCGACTGTGGAGACGAGAAAGAGGGCTTGAAACACGCTGCAAAGATTAAAGACCCCAAGAGCTCGAGGGTTCTTAACCTGTGGACCAATGCCCCTGGCATGCAGTTCTACACCGCTAACTATGTGAACGGAGTTGTCGGTAAAAATGGAGCTGTTTACAATAAGCATGCAGGTGTTTGTTTAGAGACTCAGGGTTTCCCAAATGCCATCAACACCCCAAATTTCCCATCCATTATTGTTCAACCGGGCGAGAAGTATCAGCATACCATGCTGTTTGAGTTTTCAGTTGAGTAAGATGATGTTGTTTAGGAAGTTAATAATATATAACAATAAAGTTCTCCCTTGTAAAGGCATAGCCTTAGAATGGTAATTTTTTAGTAACCAGCTGGGAATAAAGTTAGGTTTGGGAGTGACAGTGATGAGTAATTAATGGATTGTGTTGAGTACCTTTTAGACATGCAGTACTGTATTTGGGAGAAGAGCTATTTAAATAACCATAGCTGAAATTTAAATTTTCACTTACCCTCCTTTCTAACTAAGGGTGGAAATAGGCTAGGCCTGGCTCTATTTAAATAACCATGGCTGAAATTTAAATTTTCACTTACCCTCCTTTCTAACTAAGGGTGGAAATAGGCTAGGCCTGGCTTGGGCCTGTCAGGCTTTATATAGGCTAAGCTAGCAAATTATTTTGTGGACTCAGGTGGATTCGGATCTAAAATACATAATTTATATATTGAACGAATGTTCAGAATTTTGTAAAAGGTAAATTGTGAACATTAGTATGTAAATTGTAAATATTAACTATGTAAATTGTGTATTTTAGACCCTGATTCACCTTTGTTCATGGTATAACAACTCGACTAAGCTTAAGCCTACAATTGACATGGGTCGGGCTGAAGGCTTTTAACCTAGCCATTAAAAGGCTTCAAATCTTACATGTTGTAAGCTTTAAATAGGCAATCGTTATACCCTGCACCACGGCGCACATAGCACTGTACATCACGCGCCTCCTAAAACAACGTCGTTTTGGTAAGTTATGTAGGGAGTTGACGCGATTATGTACATTATAGTATACAATTATGTACATTTCTTTATACAATTATGTACATTTTTTTATACAATTATGTACATCCGAAACAAAAAAAATTAAGTGTATTATGTTAAGAGTTTATGTGTATTATGTATTATGTTAGATTATGTGTATTATCTTTTCAAAAAAAAAGTATGTGTATTTTGTTATACAATTATGTACATTCTTTTATACAATTATGTACATTTAATTTTAGTATACAATTATGTACATTTTTTAACATAAAATTTTTTTAAAAGAAAATTAACAACTGACACAGGATAGCGAAATTTCAAAAAAAAAAAAAAAAAAAAAAAAAAAAAAAAACGAAACGACGTCGTTTTGCATCAGGGCGCACAATGCAATGCGCGTCCTAGTGCACGATATAAATTGCTAGGTAAACACAAAAAACATATTAAGTAAAAATGAGATATATATTTAATAATTTAATATTAAATTAACATATATTTCTTTACCAGTCTTGCCTGAAGAAGTGAAAAATGCTGTGTTCTCAATGGTGCCGAACAAAGCCCCGGGCCAGGCCCAGACGGTATGAACCCTTCCTTTTATCAGAATTTTTGGTCAGTAATGGGGAGGGATCTTATAGATTTTGCGATTGCCTGTATAAATAACTGAGAGTTTCCTTCTGGTCTGAATAATACTAATGTGGTCTTGGTACCGAAAAAGAAGGTCCCGGAGTCAGTAATGGACTTAAGACCTATAGCTTTATGTAATGTAGCTTATAAGGTCATTGCTAAAGTTGTGGCAAACTGTATGAAAGTTGTCTTGGATTCTATTGTTTCAACTTCTCAAAGTGCTTTTGTGCCTGATAGGCTGATAATGGATAACATAATTGTGGCGGGAGAGATTGGACATTTCTTGAGGCGGAAACGGGAGGGGCTTGTGGGCTGGGCTGCGCTTAAGTTGGACATGGCAAAAGCCTATGACCATATGGAGTGGGGTTTCTTGGAGGGTATGTTATTAGCACCGTGGGTGCATTGACCTCGTGATGCTATGTGTTAACTCTGTACGGTATAATATTATGTTAAATGGGGAGGATGTAGGTATGGTGGTTCCCACTAGAGGGATTCGCCAGGGCGACCCGATATCTCCTTACCATTTTATTGTATGTGCTGAAGGGCTATCACTGTTATTGCAGCAGGTCGAGGCAAGGGGGGATATTCATGGAGTGAGAGTGGCCCGTGGAGCTCCATTGGTCACCCATTTGTTCTTCGTGGATGACAGTTTGCTTTTTTTTTTTTTTTAAAGCAAATGACAACGAGCCATATGAGGTTAAAAATTGTCTCCAGGCTTACTGTGCTGCTTTAGGTCAGTTAATAAACTATAATAAGTCCAGTATTATGTTCAATGAGAATACTTGCCCACAAGCGAGACACCATGTTACTACTCTGTTTGGTGTCACACAAGTCACGCAATTTGGGAATTATTTGGGATTTCCATCTTTTCTAGGGCGTGATAAGTCGTCTGTTTTCCATTATATTGAGCAACGGGTGAGGGATAGGGTATCAGCCTGGTAGAAGAGGTTACTTTCTAGGCTGGGAAAGAAGTGTTGTTAAAGAGTGTCGCACAGTCAATGCCCATTTTTGCTATGTCAGTGTTTTTATTGTCGAAGCCTACATGCACTACGATTGAAAATATTATGAACAGGTTCTGGTGGCAAAGTGGAGGGGCTGAAAGAAGGGGCATACATTGGATGAGTTGGGCAAGGCTTGCTCTACCCATGTGTTACGATGGAATGGGCTTTAAAAATATGCATGAGTTTAACATTTCACTATTGGCTAAGCAGGGGTGGCGGATACTCATCAAGCCGGATTCGCTTGTGTGTAAACTCCTCAAAGCTAGGTATTTCCCGCACAGTGATTTCCTGGACGCCACGTTGGGGCATAACCCAAGCTATATTTGGCGTAGCATCCTAGCTGCACAAGAGCTTCTGATAATGGGGATTGGACGCAGGATAGGGGATGGGCGAGATACGTTAATTTGGGGGCCGGCATGGCTGGCGGATAAAGAAGACCCTCGTTTGCATACTGCCTGTGTGGAGGAGTTGCGGGTGGCAAGGGAAAATAGTCAAATGACTCCGGAAGGGGTTTGGGATGATGAGGTGCTTATTGATTTGTTTTTGCCGACTGATGTGTGCAGGATAAATCATACGCCGATATCTCCGGGATAAGCTGATGTTTGGTACGGTTTTGGAGGAATGATATTCATGATTGTTACACGGTGAGGCAAGGCTACGAACTGATGACTGCCCAGCAGCATGCCCAATTGACTTTTGTGGAGTGGCGGCGTTTATGGCATTTGTGTGTCCCTCCCAAAGTAAAATGCTTCTTATGGCGTTGCATGACGGGTATTTTGCCTGTACGTGAAGTGTTGAGATCTAAGAGGGTATACGTGGGAGGGGGCTGTCCTTTCTGCAACCATGCATTAGAGACCATTGCTCACATTTTATGTGAGTGTCCTCTAGCTTGTCAACTGTGGGGTATGGCAGATGTGTTGAATGGTGTATCGCTAGTAGAGTTCGTGCAGGGGAAGTTACGAGACCCGGATAGCACACAGGGTATAGCCATGGTGTGTCAGTTTTGGGTAATGTGGAAGGCAAGGAATGATGTGGTGTGGAATGTCAAGCAATGGCAGATACAGGATATGCGACAGCTCGTAGTGGCTCAGTTAGCAGCTTGGGTGCAAGTTTATTCATCAATATGCACTGCCCAAGCTACCGCCGGCATGCAAGGGTCCCCGACTATATGGATACCGCTGCCGGAGGGGTTTTTGAAGTGTAATGTCGACGCCTCAATTCATGGTGGTGATGCAGCTTACGGGGTAGTTCTACGTAACCACGAGGGACGTTTCATTGCGGCATGCAGTGGGAAGTTTCCATGTGTGAGTGAAGTGTACCTAGCAGAGGCCATAGCTTTCAAAGAAGCGCTATCTTGGTTAAAGAGTCGTAGCCATAATATGTGTTTTGTTGAGTCAGACTGTTTATGTTTATGCTCTAGTTTTAATTCTGCTACTGCGAATTTGTCGTATGTAGGAATGATTGTGAAGCAATGTCAAACCATTTCTCGTGAAATTGGGAACATCTTAGTTCGTCATGTTAAGAGGTCAGCGAACAACGTAGATAATGTGCTAGCACAGGCAACGGGGACTTCTACTGTCCTAGGGGTGTGGGAATCCATCCCGCCCAGCTGTATTGCAAATTTGGTTTAATCTACTATTGCGTTTTGGTGTTAAAAAAAAAAAAAAACACACACACACACACACACACACACACACACACACACACACACACACACACACACACACACACACACACACACACACATATATATATATATATATATATATATATATATATATATATATATATATAGTAGTTACATTGTGGACCTGATTAAAAAAAATTATCTCTTTTAACTCTTTTTTTTTTGTACAAATAAAATTAATGTATAAAAAAAATTCATTAAAAACTCTAATTAAGATGTTTTATATTGATTTTTTAAATAAATCATAAGTACATAAAATAATTACTTTAGGTATATAAATTTGTTCATAAAAATCACTATTGTAAGTACAAGTAGGTACATAGATTCAGTATTGTTGATTTTATGTATCTAAAGTATTGAGAGGGCCATGAACTCCTTCTAATGGAGGGGAGAAACTAGAGGTAAAAGGGCATCAACAGGAAGGAATGGAGCCACCTTACACGGCCAAGAAACTAGGGAGGGCTCAACTTTAGGAATCTCAGAGATTTCAACTTAGCTATGATCTCGAAACAATTCTTGAGGCTGTTGCAGAATCCATCATCTTTGGTAGAAAGGGTCTATAAAGCGAAATACTTCCCGAACTGCTCCATGCTGGAAGCGAAGAAAGGGGGGAGCCCATCTTTTATCTAGAGCAGCATCAGAGAGACACAAGAGATCATCCGAAAACATAGTAGGTGGAGGATTGGAGATGGTAACTCGGTTCAAATATGGGATGACAAATGGCTCCCGGGTCCGGATAATGCTAAGGTTATTACTCCCCCTTTTCCCCTACTTCAATCTGGTGCTTAAGCAATTTATCTGTGACCACTGGCGGATTCAACAACTTTGCACAATGAGTTGACCATCACATGATGAAGTTGGATACAAATAATTGTTGTTTGCTACTGCTGATTTGCTGGAAGATTTGACTTGCCCGCAATGATAATGTTTGGAATTGTAAGTCCTCAAATCCCAAAACTCTTCTTGAGGGATCTGTTCGTTACTTGAAGGATTTGAACAACATTGTAAATGTCAAAGACACTAGCTCTAGACCGGGTATCTCTCCACACTACTACAAAACACACTTACCACGGCGTTTATTTTTATAAATACACGGCGGTTCTTGAAGTGCCGTGTAAGTGGCCGTCTTTGTAAATAAAAACTTTCTATGGCGGTTATTTGAACCGCCGTGTATCTCGCAGCGCTTCTCTAGTGACCCTGTTCCCGTTGGGTCCCAAGTACCAAGCGCACCACAATCCGAGTATCTCCAGCGCTTCTCTAGGGACCCTGTTCCCGTTGGGTCCCCAAGTACCAAGCGCACCACAATCCGAGTCATGTAATCCTGTTCCCGTTGGGTCCCAAGTACCAAGCGCACCACAATCTGAGTTATGCTCAGGCTCGCTCAGGGTTTCCTGTTCCCGTTCGGTCCCAAGTACCAAGCGCACCACAATCCGAGTTATGCCCAGGGCCCCCGAGTTCCGAGTTATGCTCAGGGTTTCCTGTTCCCGGGGGAGTTATGCCCAGGGCCCTCCCTGAGCTCAGGGTTTCCTGTTCCCGTTGGGTCCCAAGTACCAAGCGCACCACAATCCGAGTTATGCCCAGGGCCCCCAAGTTATGCTCAGGGTTTCCTGTTCCCGTTGGGTGAGTTATGCCCAGGGCCCTGTAATCCTGTTCCCGTTGGTTCCCAAGTACCAAGCGCACCACAATCTGCTGAGTTACGCCCAGGGCCCTGTAATCCTGTTCCCCCACAATCCGAGTTCCGAGTTATGCTCAGGGTTTCCTGTTCCCGTTGGGTCCCAAGTACCAAGCGCACCACAATCCGAGTTATGCCCAGGGCCCTGTAATCCTGTTCCCGTTGGTTCCCAAGTACCAAGCGGGGCTCAAGCTTATGGTTCGGGGAAGGCGCCCAGGGTGCAGTGTAGGGCCCTATAATCCTGTTCCCGTTGGTTACCAAGTACCAAGCGCACCCGTTTCCTGTTCCCGTTGGGTCCCAAGTACCAAGCGCACCACAATCCGAGTTATGCCCAGGGCCCCCGAGTTACCTGAGCTTATGGTTCGGGGAAGGCGCACAGGGTGCAGTGTAGGGCCCTATAATCCTGTTCCCGTTGGTTACCAAGTACCAAGCGCACCCCTCCCTAAGCTCAGGGTTTCCTGTTCCTGTTCCCGTTGGTTCCCACTTGTAATCCTGTTCCCCCACAATCCGAGTTCCGAGTTATGCTCAGGGTTTCCTGTTCCCGTTGGGTCCCAAGTACCAAGCGCACCACAATCCGAGTTATGCCCAGGGCCCTGTAATCCTGTTCCCTGGTTCCCAAGTACCAAGCGGGGCTCAAGCTTATGGTTCAGGGAAGGCGCCCAGGGTGCAGTGTAGGGCCCTAGCGGGGCTCAAGCTTATGGTTCAGGGAAGGCGCCCAGGGTGCAGTGTAGGGCCCTATAATCCTGTTCCCGTTGGTTACCAAGTACCAAGCGCACCACAATCAGAGTTATGCTCAGGGTTCAGGGGGCTCAAGCTTATGATTCGGTGAAAGCGCCCTGTAATCCTGTTGGTTACCAAGTACCAAGCGCACCACAATCAGAGTTATGCTCAGGGTTCAGGGGGGAGGGGGGTGCAATGAGTTATGCTCAGGGTTCAGGGGGGCTCAAGCTTATGGTTCGGGGGGAGGGGGGGCTCACCCCGAGCCCAGGGTGCAATGTAGGGCCCAGGATCATTTTTATCAACAATATTCCGACCCACGCTTGGGATGGGAATCGATCCCAAGACTGCCTTTTTGAAAGTCCATACCAGATACCATCAAACCACAAGAGAGATGGTTAATTATGCTATGTAGGAACATAATATACGTGCACATGTATATAATTAGAAAATACTAGGTTTTCTTGGATTAAGAAACTATTAAGCTTAATGAATAATATTAATTTAGGAAAATTTAATAAAATTAGTCATATGCACATACGGTCCTCGTACAATGCCCAAAAAAATATCGAGTATCACACCTTTACACGGCGACCGCCGTCTATTAAGTGACGTAAATATATATTAGAAGGCGGTTATTTAAGAACCACCGTCTATTAAGTGACGTAAATATATATTAGAAGGCGGTTATTTAAAACCGCCGTCTATTTAGTGACATAAATATATATTAGAAGGCGGTTATTTACAACAGCCGTCTATTAAGTGACGTAAATATAAATTAGACGGTGGTTATTTAAGAACCGCCGTCTATTAATTGACGTAAATATATATTAGACGGCGGTTATTTAAAACCGCCGTAAATATATATTAGAAGGCGGTTATTTAAAACCGATGTCTATTAAGTGACGTAAATATATATTAGAAGTCTGTTATTTACAACCGTCGTCTATTAAGTAACGTAAATATATATTAGATGGCGGTTATTTAAGAACCGTCGTCTATTAATTGACGTAAATATATATTAGACGGCGGTTATTTAAAACCGCCGTCTATTAAGTGGCGTAAATATATATTAGAAGGCGGTTATTTAAAACCGCCGTCTATTAAGTGACGTAAATATATATTAGAATGCGGTTATTTACAACCGCCGTCTATTAAGTAACGTAAATATATATTAGACGGCGGTTATTTAAGAACCGCCGTCTATTAATTGACGTAAATATATATTAGACGGCGGTTATTTAAAACCGCCGTCTATTAAGTGGCGTAAATATATATTAGAAGACGGTTATTTAAAACTGTTGTCTATTAAGTGACGTAAATATATATTAGAAGGCGATTATTTAACAACCGCCGTCTATTAAGTGACGCCGTATATAATAGACGGCGGTTATTTAAAGACCGCCGTCTATTAAGTGTCCTAGTATATAATAGAAGGCGGTTATTTAAAGACCGCCGTCTATTATGTGCCGTAATATATAATAGAAGGCGGTTATTTAGAAAACCGACGTCTATTATGTGTCGTAGTATAACAAAATATAATAGAAGGCGGTTATTTAAAAAACCGCCTTCTATTAAGCGACGTAGTATATCATTTCTGTAGTAGTGCCAGTTCAACATTGGGAGAGGTCACCCCCAGGTTATCTGAAACTTAACACAAATGCAGCAGTTAACACAAACAACAATCGCATGGGGTTTGGATGGGTGCTAAGAAATGACATTGGACAACTTGTTGCAGCAGCATGTATTCTAGGGAAAGGATTGTTCTTACCTAAGGAAGTTGAAGCAATGGCCGTTAGGGAAGCTCTAAGCTGGTTAAAGAACCATGGACTCAGCCACGTCCAAGTTGAATCTGATGCTCTCCAAATTATCCAAAGTTTAAAGCACAATGGGGAGAATTTTTCTTTTGATCTTGTTATTACTGATGTTAAAGATTTGTTATTAGTGATGCTCTAGACTTGTTACGGAAGCATGTTTTCTTTGTCACGACAGGAGTGGTCCTCTTGCCCTCCTTTCATTGTCAACAATTTGTATTAATGAAGTCTTTATTTTCAAAAAAAAAAAAAAAAAAAAGTATCTGAAGTATTATTTTTATGCACATGGGCTATGTTTAACAAACTTAGCTGAAAAGGTAGTTGAAAGCTTAAAAGCTATAACTTAGAAGCTGAAAAACTGAAGAGATATCTGAGTATGCTTAAAAGTGTTTGGTAAAATTAGTTTTTTTTTTTTTTTTTAAAAAAAATTGGGAGGGGTAAATGATGTCATTTATTTAAAATAATAAGAATATATGAAAAAAAAAGTTAGGAAGCTAATAGCTTATTTTTAAAAGAGTTAATACCATAAATGGTCCTCTGACTATTGGCAATATATCTATGTGATTGCCAGAAGATACAGGTTGGAGAATTAAGCATGCATGTTTTTACTTTTTAAGAATTTTTTATTTAACAGTTGAGTTGTAATGGGAGTTTAAAATTTAGTAAATTTAACAGAGAATTAACGGGGAATTATAAAACTAATAATAGAGAATATAATTTTTAACGGGCAAATGAATAATATAATATTGTTGAATAGAAATATGAATTTTAATATTGTTGTATTGTATTACAAATAGAAATTTTAATGTAAAATTGTAGTACGAATATGAAAGTATGAAACAATGTATTCTATTAAGAATTGTATTACACTATTTGTTTTTTGGAATAGGAATTTTAATGTAGAATTGTAGTACAAATAGAAAGTATGAAACAATATATTCTATTACGAATTGTATTACACTATTTTATAATATTAAGCAAATCTTAATAGTATATGACTATTTTGAGCGGAAAATTAAAATGGGGGATATATATATATATATATATATATATATATATATATATATATATATATATATATATATATATATAGTAAGTATAAATATTGATTGGATATTTAAATATATAAATTTACAAATTAAATAAAATATTGTTTTATATTGTACTAAAAATAAAAAATAATTTAAAAACCCAAGGTGTAGAATCTCCGTTCCCAAAAAATCCTTATGGGGATGGGGTAATTCCCTATCCCTACCATGGGGCGAGGTCAGGAAACAATGGATGAATTCGGAGATGGGGATCCTATTCTCCACCTCCGCCCCACCATGTTATAACTCAAGTTTCTTGTTCAATTTAGTTTCAATTCAAAATCAAATTACATATTTTCGTGTACAAAGAGTTCAACCCCTACCTTATCATTGAACACAAGTATTAAGTGTGGCTTTGCATCTACTTAGATGAGTGTGCTACGAGACTAATTAGACGTATTTTTGTCCCATTTTAATAGCGTATTTAATCCTATTATTTGCTATTATACTTAATTATTGTAACTTGTAAATGAATATTTTTTTTTGAAGGCAACCTTGCGTGGTCATTTTATAGATAAACCAGAATAGAGTCAGGGGGAACTGTGTCTCAATACAAAGTTGTAGACTGTTCTGAAACTGTAGAAGCTAAAGTATGAGCTAATAAATTCTGCGATCTAGGAATAAAATTAACTGAGCAAAAATCAAAAGTATTAATGCAAATCTTGCAGGCATCAACGGCATAGCCGATGTATGATCTGAGTGGTGGTCCATTTGAGGACAGGTAACTGCATAGCATTTGACAATCCATGTAGATTTGGACGGTGCGCTCGCCACGGTCTCGTAACCAAGATAAAGCTTCCTTGCACGGAAAAGCCTCGGCCATAAGTGGGAAAAAACAAGTCGGCAAGGGGGCATTGTATGCCGTAACGAACCTTCCATCGGCTTCTAGTAGCACCGCACCTACCGAAGCCGTGTTTGTAGCATGTTGGTAGGCAGCATCCATGAAGCATCTGCGTGAGGCTGCTGTGGTGGTACTGCCCGGCATAGCTACTGGATCGGCCGGCATTGGCGGGGGCAGCAGTCCGGCCGTCGCAGTGGTAGCAGCCATTCCGGCGGGAGTCATAACATGGTTCACGGCATTCCATGCGTGCATGGTGGCTAAAGCATTGGCAACAATTCTCTTGGGTAAGGGTAAGCAGGCATCCCAAACCGCTGTATTTCGTGCTCTCCATATGTGATAAAGAATTGCAGCTGCAAATATAATCCCATTAGTGTCTAGAACATTTAAGATTGCACTAAACCACTCATGAAAAATATTTGTCACAATATTGGGAAATGGAAGGTTAGATAGTGCCCATATGGTATTAGCATAACCACACGATACTAAAGCATGCAATGTATCTTCTTGTATAACTCCACACATGGCACAAGTAGGATCCACATCCACTCTCTTTATAAGCAAATTATTTGTGGTGGGGATGATGTCATTTATAGCTCTCCATAAAAATGTCTTCTATTTTGGGGGTATTTTCAATCCCCATAAAGTAAGCCATTTATCAAAAGCTCCATCATTACTACTCGTATAATTTCCTACAATACGCTTGTAGCCATTCTTAACTGAGTAGGTTCCCTTAAGATCCCCATGCCAATACCAATCATCATCATATTCCGGAGATACTGGTATTTTAAGAATACGGGGTATATCACTTGGCTGGAAAATATCTGAAAGAATGTCGTGGTCCCAAGTTCTAGTCCCCGGATCAATCAATCCGCTTACTTTAGCTCCTGCTAACTGGGGTGGCATCTCAGTGTGGATAAAGGGGTCCAAATCATCGTGGAGCCATGGGTGCTCCCAAATCAGGGTAGAATTTCCAGTCCCAATATGCCGTCTTACTCCGCCACAGACTAGTTCCTTAGCTGCCATAATGCTACGCCAGCAGAAACTGGGATTATTCCCCAATTGTGCTTCATAAAAGGTATGTTTAGGATAATATCTGGCCTGATAGACGCGAGAGACCAGTGAATTGGTATTCGTTAGCATCCGCCATGCCTGCTTTCCTAACATTGCGAGATTAAATGCTCTTAGGTCCTTAAAACCCAATCCCCATATTTCTTTGGGACACACAACTTGTCCCATGCCTTCCAATGAATTCCCCGGTCAGTTCCTGTCCCCACCAATATCTATTCATTGTCCATTCAATAGCCGTGCAGACAGAATAGGCAATAAAAAGACCCCCATCGAAAAGGTAGGCATTGTTTGAGCCACAATTTTCAACAAGATTTCTTTACTAGCTTGTGAAAGCAACTTTTTGCTCCAGGACCCAATCTTCTGCCTTATCTTATCCTCAATATATGCAAATGCTGCTCTCTTATTTCTCCCCGCAAATGAGGGTAGGCCCAGATATTTCCCAAAATTAGATGCCTGAGCTACCTGTAAAATTTGTGCCACCTCATTCCTGTCCCCTGTAGATGTATTCTTGCTATAGCATATACTGGATTTATGGTAGTTGACCACCTGCCCCGAGAAAGCCTCATATGCTGACAAACAATTCTTAACCTGCGTGGCCTCATGCCTGTTAGCCTTAAAAAATAAAAGACTATCATCTGCAAAAAACAAATGAGAGATTGGGGGTGAACCCCTAGCAACCCTGCACCCATGAATCAAGCCACCCCTCTGCACCTGCTGCAACAACATGGACAATCCTTCCGCACAGATAATAAACAGATAAGGCGATAGGGAATCCCCTGTCTTAGGCCACGTGTGGGTGTCAGGTAACCAGCCCGCGCCCCATTAATCAAAAAACTATAGGATACAGAGGAAACACACAACATAATAAGCTTAATCCATGTTTCATGAAATCCTAGAGCTACAAGCATTCCTTGTAAAAAAAAAAATCACTTCATTCGGTCATATGCATTGGCCATATCCAACTTAAGAGCTCCCCAGCCAACTACTCCACATTGCTTCCTATTCAAATAATGTCCCACCTCCGCAACTATCAAAAATCAAAATATTGTCTGTAATTAGCCTATCCGGCATGAAAACACTCTGTGAGTCCGATATAATATCTCCCATCATTGGCTTCATTCTGTTTGTAATCATTTTTGCCATAATCCTGTATACCACATTACTCAAAGCTATAGGCCTCAAATCTGTAACCAGTTCAGGCATACTTTTCTTCGGGATTAATACAATATCCGTATCATTTAAACCAGAGGGAAAAGAGCATGAATTCAAACAGTTTAGAATAAAATCTTAAACATCCCCCTACCACATCCCAGAACTGCTGATAAAAACCCGGATTCATTCCATCAGGGCCTGGAGCCTTATCAGGAAACATTGCAAATAGGGCACTCTTTACTTCATCAATCACAAAAGACCTCAACAAGATCTCATTCTAAGCCTGGGTGACTCTAGGTGTTATTGTCTGAAATAACGATTCCCCGGGGGCAGGATTTCCAGAGCAAAAAATCTTACCAAAATAATCAATTATAACACCCGTCATGGCATTTCCTTCCACCCACACCCCATCATCATTCATAAGACGAGATAGAGTATTTTTCTTTCTACAGTGAGAGGCATACCTGTGATAAAACGTCGTGTTGGCATCGGCATTCTTGAGCCAGTGATGCTTGGCTCTTTGCTTCCAGTATGCATCTTCCTGCGCCTCCGTACCAGTGAGTAGCCCTTCTAGACGTTGGAATTCGGTCAGAGAGACCGGATCCGTACGTCCCCATAAACGTAGCTGCTCCTTCTTAAGAGTCAGGATGCAGTCACCAAACTTATGATACCGATCCCCCCCCCCGCCCCCCCCCCCCCCTTCTCGAGAGACGATCGCCACAATGTAGAATACACTCCTGCAGACCCCTATCTCTCCCATGCTCCTATGACTCCTCCACCACCTTCCTACATCCCTCATCATATAGCCAAGCCATTTCAAATCGAAAACCCCTTTTCCCCGGCTTGCCATGCTGTTCACGAATTCCTAAAAATAAAACAGAATGATTCGACTTCCTTGTCAGTATATTCATCACGGAGGCTCCCTGCACAATACCACACCAGCTCTGCGAGGCCAGAACCTTATCCAATATCTCCTCAATCCAGTTAGCTGTCCCCTTACCATTTTCCCATGTAAACTGGTACCCATTCATCGGTAACTGAGACAGACCACAATGCTCTATTACCTCCCCAAAACCACGTAGGAGATTATCAGGATGTGGATTCCCCCCCCACCCTCCCCCCCTCCCCCCCCCCCCACCCTCTCTTCTCATGCTGATACAGGAGCTCATTAAAATCACCAATCATAACCCATGGTAGGTCAGACCGTGATGCTAACGATTTAATCAACTCCCATGCCTCGTACCGCCTATGACGCTCCGGGAACCCATAGTAACACGTCATACGCCAATTCGGGAAACCAGCCATACTCACCTCCACATCAATATGATTCTTCGAATAACTCATAAGCATTGCCGTATTATTCTTCCTCCATAGCAAAGCTAATCCACCACTCAACCCATCATTATCCACAAAAAACAGGCCATCAAAACCAAGACTGACACGGACACACTCAGCATGACTCCTGCCAACCTTAGTTTCCATAAGAAATACAAAGTCAGGCTTCTTACGTGACACCAGGTCACTCACTTCGCGAACTGTTCGTGGATTGCCCAAGCCACGACAGTTCCAACTGAGGGTACTCATGATGATGGGCGGATCTGGCAACCAGAACCCGCATTGAACAAGTTTTTTGAAACCTCAGCCATTGCAACATCCACACCCTCCAACCCATCACCACCATCCCCTTCCCTTCTCTTCTCTTCTTCGAAGCCGCCACAATAATCGACTCGGGCCCCTGCCTGCCAGTAGCTAACCCCGCGGCATTACCGCCGGTCAGCCCTCCTGGCAGTACAGCAGCCACGGTCGCCACCGATTGTATTGGCTACTGGATATTTAATTTGTGTTAGTTGATTATATTATGGGATTATAATGGTTATTTGCTCACTTTAAGTATGGTATGTTTTTGTATAAAAAGAAAAAAAAAGGTATAGTTTTAAATAAAAGTTTTCTTACTATTTTAATTGACGTAAAAGTATATAACTGAGTTGATCAATGTGATTCTAATTGATCAACTTAACATTGTGATTATTAAATTAATTATTTGATCAATTTAATTAAGGTTGTTCAACCAACTCGACTGGAGTTACCCTTTAATTTTTTTCTACTACATGATTATAAGATCAAGTTTATACTAAATGTTGATTATAAAATAGTAAATGTAAATTTTCATTATAAATTTAAAATTTTAATTAAAATGAAAGACATTATTATTTAATTTAAGGAGGGAGGATTGGCAGGAGTGAATGAAATTATCTGTCCATACTGACGTGGCGGGATCTTACAGGTAGTTGTGGCAGTCATGACGTGGAAAACGCAACATATAATAATTATTCAACCGGCTTCTTCGCCCATCTAATCAGAGACGAACATAGTCGCCCTAGGTGGCCGAGAAAAATAATCGTCAACCGGAGATGCGAAATCGGAAAATCAGATACTTCTTCCTACTCCTCGCCGTAGTATTTCCGGTTGCTACACTCGCCCGGCAATTCGTCCTCGTCATCTCACAAGACGATATCAAGGACCTCGGAACTGATGCCACCGCCGCCGCCGAAACTGATTCCACGGAGCCCGGATTCGACGATTTTATAGACTCCGATGCGAAACCAGACCACGAGCTCGACCCGGGTTCATGGAGCCCGATCTTCGAGCCAGGCACGGATCCGGTTAATCAAGACGAGCAGGAGGCGGCGTACTACAAGGCCGTCAGGAAGATCGTGACCGCTTCCAGCCGGGGGGACGCCAGGGGTATGGAGGAGGCCGCGTCGCAGATGGAGGCCGCCTCCGCCGCGGGACACGCGCACGCGCAGTCGGTGATGGGGTTTTTGTACGGTATGGGAATGGTGAGGGAGAGGAACAAAGCCAAGTCGTTTTTGTTCCACCATTTTGCTTCTGAGGGCGGCAATATGCAATCAAAGATGGCACTTGCTTATGCATACACTCGCCAAGAAGTAAGTTTCATCCCTCACATTTATACAATTTCATCTTTATTTTTGTGTATAGGTATGTTTTGATCTATAGAACAGGTTTGATGAGACTGATTTTTTTATGTGAGTTAACATTTTAATTTTAATATTGTAAATAATGAGGAATTATGATGCTTTCTAAGGAGTAAGAAACTGTGGAATTTAAATATTTCCAGTTGATAGCAAGAACCAAACTGAAATATCTATAAAGGATTGTTTCTTTTTTATATATTTCTCATTCTTAACTCTTTTTGTTTGCCCCAAAATACTTCCAAAGCATTTTACTTCATTATGGGGATTCAATAACTGTAACTGTTTTGTTTTGTTTTGTTTTCTGTTGTTTAGTAGATCTTTGTCTATCTGAGTAGATTTTCATCAAGTAGAACCATAGTAAACTCTAAGACCTGCTAGAAGAGAATGTGGAGTACAATTTTATTATTTATTGTGGTCGGTTGCCTTTCTTTCTGATGCACGAGTGAAGGATAACTGCTTATGCATGAATTCTACGTTTGTTGGTTGCAGATGCATGATAAAGCAGTTACGCTATATGCTGAATTGGCAGAGGTTGCTATAAATAGTTTTCTAATTTCAAAGGACTCCCCTGTGATTGAACCAGTTCGTATACATACTGGAACAGAGGAAAATAAAGACGCGTTGAGGAAGTCTCGAGGAGAAGAGGATGAGGACTTCCAGATTTTGGAATACCAAGCACAGAAAGGGAATGCAGGGGCAATGTATAAAATTGGTATATTCTACTACTTTGGATTGAGGGGAGTGAGACGTGATCATGTCAAGGCATTATCGTGGTTTTTGAAGGCTGTCGATAAGGGTGAACCAAGGTCAATGGAACTTCTTGGTGAAATATATGTAAGAGGAGCTGGAGTTGAGAGGAACTACACCAAGGCTTTAGAGTGGTTATCACTTGCTTCCAAGCAACAGCTTTATTCAGCTTATAATGGCATGGGATATCTTTATGTTAAAGGTTTTGGAGTTGAAAAGAACTATACCCAGGTAGCGCTTACTCATTTTTTTATTTGATTTTTCTTTACCTTTTATCTTATTCAACCAACCTTGAGTTTTCACATTGAAAAGGCTATTTCTTGTTTTTTTGTTGTAAGCTGATAACCTTGTTTTGCAGGCAAAAGAGTATTTTGAGAAGGCCGCTGATAACGATGAGCCTGGCGGATTCTACAACCTTGGGGTGATGTATCTGAAAGGGATCGGGGTAAAGAGGGATTTGAAGCTGGCTGGCAAGTATTTTATACTAGCTGCTAATGTGGGTCAGCCTAAGGCTTTTTATCAGTTGGCAAAAATGTTCCATACTGGTTTGGGCCTTAAAAAGAATGTTCCCATGGTAAGTCAAGTAAAACTGTATGCCTACCTTTTTACTTTATTTTTCAAGTTTTTGTCAGCCATATTGCCTTCCAAAGCACATTTACCATGTGTGAGTTAAATATTTTGCTATAATATGAATCATACAAGTAATTACTTACCCAATTGAATAAGTGCACAAGATCTTGTAGGACTTGACGGGGTTAATGGTAGATAACCCGTGTGCTTTTCTTGACATTCATTAATCATTACTGATTCCTTGTATAGTGTCTCCCACAAATGGATTTCTTTTAGGTGTCATTTTGTGTAGAAAAATTGAAACAACAAATACCTGAGCTTGCCCACATCTTTTATGTTCTCTAGTGCTGAATGGACTCCAATCATAATCATTCTTGTCTGCATGATTTCAGGCAACTGCCTTGTACAAACTAGTTGCAGAGCGTGGACCATGGAGTTCTTTGTCTAGATGGGCATTAGAGTCGTATTTGAAGGGAGATGTTGGGAAAGCTTTTCTCCTGTACTCTAGGATGGCAGAGTTGGGATATGAAGTTGCACAAAGTAATGCAGCATGGATTCTTGACAAATATGGACCAAGGAGTATGTGCATGGGAGGATCGGGAATTTGCACAGATGCAGAGAGACATCAGCGCTCCCATGCATTGTGGTGGCAAGCTTCTGAGCAGGGTAATGAACATGCTGCCCTGCTCATTGGAGATGCATACTACTATGGTCGGGTATGTGAATAATTCTGGAGGGATAAGCTTATTATTTAATAACACAAATCAATCTGGCTTCTTATGCTTGGTTTGCCTGAGCTCTATACCTTCATTTTTAACAGGGTACTGAACGAGATTATGAGCGTGCAGCAGAGGCTTATATGCATGCAAAATCACAATCCAATGCTCAAGCCATGTTTAATCTGGGGTACATGCACGAGCACGGCCAAGGATTGCCATTTGATCTTCACCTTGCAAAGCGTTACTATGATCAAGCCTTGGATAATGATGCTGCAGCAAAGTTGCCTGTAACACTCGCCCTTGCAAGCTTGTGGATAAGAATGAACTATGCTGACAGCTTCATGGTATCATCTTATTTTCCAATTGACAAATATTTGTCTCGTCAAGATTTTGAACTGAACTAGGGTGGTACCTTTTTGGCTTATTATATCATAGGTTGATATGATTGATTCGTTGCTGGAAGTTTATCCAAAACTGGAAACATGGGTGGAGGATGTGCTAATGGAAGAAGGAAACGCGACTATACTTACACTCATCGTCTGCCTTTTAACAGTGCTTTACCTACGCGAGCGTCAACGAAGGCATGCTGCTGCTGCTGCTTTTGTTGGAGAGGCTCCACCTCCTCATCAGCCAGATGAGCAGGATATGCCCATTGTCAATTAACTTAACATTGGTGTTGTTTTGTGTTTGGAGGAGAAATTTTTCGCAGAAAGATGTACAGGAGCTTCATTTCCATCCTATTGCTAAAAGAAGCCGGCCTTTTTGTTGGCCATTTTCTAGTGTAAAAAAACCATAGTCAAGGTGCAGGTAGAAGAAGATTTCTCTTCTCTTTTTTTTTTTTTTTTTTTTTTTTTTTTTTTTTTTTTGAAGTATTTAACATAGTCACGTAGATAGCCTACCACCCAATTGAAGTTTCTTCCGGGAAATATACAAAGCCTTAGCTTATTTTCATTTTCAATGTCTTGTTAATTTTTCACTGTGTTCGGATAAATCTGAATTTGTGTTGAGTTCTGATTTTTTTTTTTCGTCAGCTATTTGAAACTCATATAAATTAGATATGGCAATGGATTGGTAGTATTTATAATACATGTTTTTCTTTTTTAAAAATATTATCAGCAATTACTAATAGTCTAGTACTCCGTATTGCTCTACTTATGGAGTTTATAGACCTAGACCTAGACTAGAGTACGGTATATGTATTTTACACTTTCATGTTACTCTATGCAGTATGTACTAATATATAAAACGGAAAAAAAATATGTGCAATTAGAATATTTTTTTAAAAATTTATTTTAATACAATTTGAGTTAAAATTATTTCAATCTTTCTTTCTAACTAGCATGATAGAAAATAGTGACCTTTAGTACATACGAGTACTAAATATTATTTTATAAATATTTAAAATAACTATTTAACAATAGTAAATTATATTAATATGTTCAAAAATAAATAATTACCATACATGCTGGTATAATTAGTTAATAACATTAGTTGATTGTAAAAATGTGCTTGGTAAATTAACTAATAGGCTGTCGGGTATAATTTCTTTTCTCAAAAAACTAATTGAAAAAGTTACTTTGAATAGTTTTTTGAATTTTAACATTTTGGAGTAAAAAAAATTAATTAACCAAACACTTATATTAATTTTTAAACCAAGTCAAACAACTGATCAAATAAGTTAAAATTAGTCTATAGACTAACTATTTTACCAAACACGGTGATTGAGATTTGAAGACTTAACCTATTGCTTAACAAAGAAATGTGAAGACTAAACCTATTGCTTAACAAAGAAATGTGAAGACTTAATTTAGCATAACAAAGGTTTTTTTTTTTGTTATGTAGTAACTAATAAGTTAATTATTATTTAAATCTCAATGTGAACATATATGTAATTATTTATTTTTGATATATTAATATAATATATTATTGGTAAAACATAATTAATTTTAAATATTTATAAAACAATATATAATATGTGGTAAAAATAATGTCAGCACCACATCATCTAAGCTAACGATCTATTAACACTATTAGTTATCGATAATTTCAATTATCAGTCGATTATATCGGTTATAAGACTAAAAAAAATTCAATTATTCGGCTATTCGATTATTTATCAATTATGAAGGTGTAATAATCGCGGTCATCAAATAACCGATACTATTATATATATATTATAATATATTAGTTATGTAAATCTAATTCATACAGTAACTAAATAAACTTACTGAAAGTTTTTTTCTGTAAATATGTATATAACTACATATACAGTAACTAATATATATATATTATTTGTAATATTACTTGTGAATGGTCGGTTATTCAGTTATCGAAATAAGCGATCGAAACCGATATAAGTGTATGTTCGGTCAGTTTCGGTCGGTTATGGAGATTTAAAAAATGTCATCGATTATTCGGTTATTAACCGTAACCAATCGATGCTCACCCCTAATTTTTATACTTAATTATATCACTTTCTAAAGTACCGGGATTAAATTGAACCACTTTTTAAAATACATAGATTAAATTGAACAAAATGTATAAAAACTAAATTGAACAAAAACACTATAATACAAGGACCTCGGATATCGTTTGACCTAATAATTGTACCAAAAGAGTTGATAACTTAGGGTGTGTGCCAAGATCACTGAGGCCATAGGGCTACTATACCCAACAAAAGATGAGGTGGCAATCTAAGTCTACTTCTACACATTGAGTTTGAGCGACAAAAAGACTGCAGATGGCGCAGCAGTCACAATTGATGCACAAAAGATTAGGATTCACAATTGCTGACCTGCTCATGGCCGTTCTAAGAGAGTTGTCATGAAGATCTGATAGTTCCTTGTTCCCCAAGCATCCTTCTTGTCCAGGTAATAAGATTTCAAGCAGCACTCGATCCATGGCGGGTTTCTGGAAGCATTGCCTATTGCACTATAATCACCGGTCTTGGGAATTCCAAGCAACGAGTTCCACTTTCTTGTTAATACATCATCGGGTGATGGAAAATGAGTAAAAAACTCTTCCTGAGTAATGGCATAGCATTATCAATAAATTTGTACAATCCAAATAATCAATCAAATCTTAGCTACAAAAGCAGCAGATATCAGTGGCAACAAGAATTGCAATCTTAATAGCCACAGTTGTAAATGCAATTTTAGACATAAAGCAAGATATGTTCAGAATTGATTAATTAGGGACATAATTTATGAATGTGTAACTGGTTATATAGGCATGAGTGTGTTTTGGGCGCAGTAATTACAATTTACTTATAGTACAGTTGGTAATAATGATCATGAGATTACAGAGCGAAAAATGTGAGTAATGGAATTTCAATTTACCGCATCATCCTTGTATAGAAAAGCATGGATTCGGGCAGTTGGATCCTCTAGTGTCAACCTGATCCTATAGATTCCTGAAGGTGAACGGAACTTTGAAACTTGCCATGGTAATGCTGCTACTACTCGAACTACACAACGATACTTATATGTAACCTACAGCACATAAACTCAATAATCTGAGTATCTGACTGAAAAGAAGCTGTATTGAATGACTAAGCATACAAGGCATGCATGATCATATCAGAATATTCCCCACTTATAGCTTCACCGTTGTTGCGTTTAGGGTGTTGCTTCAGACCCATTTCTACTTTCCATGTAATAGACTGGAGCATGAATCCCATCTCCCCCATCAGATACACCCCATTAATATATATATATATATATATATATATATATATATACACACACACACACACACACACACACACACTCCTGATCAAATGAGTCCACCCTTTTCCATGAGTCCGTGTGGACAGATCTGGTCCATTAAAAGCTAGAGATCAATGGTCTAGATCACAGTTGGGAGAATCTAGGACCATTGATCTCTAGCTTTTAATGGACCAGATCTGTCCACACGGACTCATGGGAAGAGGTGAACTCACTTGAACAATGGCCTATATATATATATATATATATATATATATATATATATATATATATATATATATATATATATATATATATGTAATAAAATGGGCAAAAAGGCTTAACATTTTCAAAAATCAGAATAATGACAAATGACAATACTCAAAATAAAGGGGATGGGATCATTAAGTAAACTGTCTTTGAGCCTCAACCACAATATAACAAAGCTTCTATTGAGATTTACATAGGGGAAAACCAAAAGAAGAAATGAAAATGGAAATTCCAAAAATGATGGACCAATTGAAATATTGTGATCCTACATTGACTAGCAAATCTTATATGGAGTATAATTTCATCATGCAAGAGCTCAGAAAGGCATTCAAGTGAGCCTAGCAGGAAAGGGAAAGGAAAATAGAATATGAAGGGGCATAAGAAAAGAAAATAAAAATGAACTTCTATCATTGAAAACATTCATTCATTTCTTTTAAAAATAAAATAAATGAATTCTAAACTCTAAGGTACAAAATATGTCCACAACTGTTAATTACTGTACAACAAATATATACTCTCCTTAAAAGATTCAGTTTTGATGCCTCTTATTCTTGTCCTTGTAAGCCTGATTATACGTCAATGATAACCCCACATATGTAGAGAATTCTAAAGTGAATCAGAAAATGGACAAAAACTGTCTAATGCTGACTAAATTTGCACTCTAGAATTACAGCCAACTTTTCAAGGTCTTAACCAAGGCAAGTAAAACAGTTGACAAAAAAAAAGTTACAAGCATATTTATATGCAATTCAACCCCCTAGAAGAGCCTAATTAATCCCAGACATTCTACCCTGAGTTTGACATGAAATGAAGTCTAATAAATGCCTAAATTGTTGAATTATCTGGCAGAAGAATAAGGTATATGTCCCTCCATTGTTTGCCATCCATTATCAAAGAACTTTCAAAGGAGAGAGCAAAGAGAAGGCGGTATACCTCTGGATAGGTTAGAACATTCATCAAAGTGACGAAGGGCACATTCTTAGGACATGAAGTCCCTGAAAATTTCAGAAATTAAAGAAATTAAAAAAAAAAATGACCAGTTACCATGTCAAAACATAGGGATACCCTGTAAACATAGAAACCAAACCTGTCATGCCAGAATGCCAAGGAAAACTTGTTAGAGGCATATGTCCCCATTTTGAATAAAAACGATCATCGTAACTCCTGTTGTATAGATTGTGAACAATAGTATATAAAATAAGCATTGCATGGTAGACTACTAGAGGCATAACAAACTTCTTATTAGAAAAACAAAGCCAACCCCAACCTTTAAAGCTTATACCTCTCATAGTCTCATAATAAACTCAGTCCAATTTTAAATGTACTTCATGCCCAATATCCTATTACAACCATGCTTCTTATTAGAAAAACAAAGCCAACCCCAACCATGCTGTTTGAACAGTTACAAACCATCTACTACAGAAAAGGAAACAAAGTGCTGAATTCAAGCAACAATACCTTTTGCGCTGTACTACAAGGGCATTGTCTTCAGACAAGTAGCAAAATTTTGTAAATGGCATTAGAAAAGCACACCATAGTGAGGAACGAACTTCACATCTCAAGCCTAAGAATTTCACCCATCGACCCGTTTTAATGCAGTCGAGACCAAACTTTACATTGCTAGAATCAACAGTCACTCTTAAAACAGTTCCAACCGTTGGGAAGGTACATAAAACATCTCTTGATAAAGGAATAGGTTCCAAATGTAAAGGAAGTGGATTTTCCTTTTCGTCTTCTAGGCTGTAAATACAAAAATTATAATAATAAAATAAAAAAAAGATTCTGAACATAAGTGATTTCAAATTAAAAAGTAAATTTTGTCTATCCAAATTACCAGATCAATTACAAGGTCATTGTCATAAAGCTTTTTTTTTTTTTTTTCCTTTTCAATTTTTAGTAATTTTTCAGTAGGAAATACAAATAAACAGTTAAAGCATAAAGAAAATTCCAAATGTATGAAAAGCTCAGAACTAACAGAAAAATTAATTGAGTTTAGCAGATGAAATACTGTTAGGTGCTAAATAGCATTTGTTTATTGATTGATAATTATTTAAAGGCCATGCTACTATTGTGAGTTGGATCAAAGTTTGTGTATCTTTTGGTAATTAACCCAAAAAAAATAAATGGAAATATAGAATCATGAAGATTATTACTTGGATTTTATAGCAATTGGTGGAGTGTCAGTACCATCCCACACAAAGAGCATCAACTCCTCTCTTTCAGTTTCCCATGCATGAAGAACCTTGCATTGAAGAGCAGAAATAGTAATAAATTATCATAATTGCAATTTTCAGCAATAGATGCAGCAGAAGTTGGATAATTCTGAAGAAATAGGCAATAGATTTTGTCTGTGCTAGGGCTAAAGGAGACTGCATACAAATAAGTACCTTACAAACCAAATTGAAGCGGACACCTTCCTTGAACTCCTTCAATTGTAGTAATTCAGTTGACCCTATCAAGGAAAAAGATCAGAAGAGGTACAGGGAGAAAAGTTTCTGAATTAGAAGCCATAAACTCAATTATTCTCAACCTGTCATCAAGCCTGTCACTGAAGCACCTGCATCAATTTGTTCACCAGCCAACCACTGACGAAGGCCCAGTATAAATTTGTTATCTTGTTCTCTGGCATTAAATTTAGCAGAACATTGGTAAGGCGTAAAGCTTGTACTGTTTTTTCCTTCATATAACGCAAATGATGAAAACTTCTTGTTGAACAAAGCATAAACATCAGGTCCATGAGTTTTCATCTGCAAAAGATATGTTTTATCAGTAACCATTTGCTTTTCGAAATATTGAAAGGCTAAAAAAAGGAATACTTGCTCAACTCAACTGCACCATAAATGCAATTGTTCCACCTATTTGGTATGGTTAATCAGTCTACATTTTTCCACTGGTCAGTCAAACTTAAGAAGCAATGCATGCAGCACAAACATCATAAAACGAAAATCAAATATGTTAAAGCGGCTCATAAGAACATATAGCAGTTTTGCACCTCAGGTATGATTGTATGAAGCACTATCACTTCCAAAAAGTTGGCAAGCAGGACAAAAATGTTATATTAATCAGAAAATTTGTACTATTATTTTAGGAAACACAAAGAGGCACATTGTGCAGTTCAGGTTCACAGCTAAACATGATAATAACATTTATTTTTCAAACAAATAACTATTAAACATTCAAAAATGTGTAAAATAATAGTACCACAACATGACAAAGCTGAATAATATCTCCTTCTGTCGCCATTCGAGGTAGCATCTCCATTGTCTCCGTGAAGAAGTTAACTGAAATTCCATGCTTCGGCTGCGATTCATCAATAATCCTGATCGTAACAAAACAATCTGAATAGAGTTCACCAAAAAGTTTTTTTCAAAAGGGAAAATCAATTCAATCCGCGCATATTAAAAAAAAAAAAAAAGTATACGGAGTGTTAAGAAATTGAGTTTTGAGTAAGCGTTTTACCAGTGCCACGGGACTGTTTTGGAAGGCCACTCTCGGTGACGACGCCAATGAGATTGACTCTTTGGTTGATTGAAACCATGGCGTCTACTATCTGAAGGAACTTATGGCCATCGTGACTCCTCGCCATTTTTGCTCTCTTTGGTTTCTGAAGAGTTCCAGACTTAACCCTTAACTCGACGAGGAGGGAAATCAATGGAGCGGGCAAATAATTTGCTGAGCAGGACCGATTCGTATTCGGGTTTCGCTTCTTAAATTCTATATTATTGACCACCTGACTTTGGTCATCAAACATTCAAATACTTACACTATCTTTATAATTGAGCAAATACCAATTTTGATCCTCCAAGTATTAGCAAAATGATCATTTTGGTCTATCTATTTAATTTTTACCAATTTTTATCCATGATTATTGTTTTAGTACCAATTTTAATCCACGACTATTATTTTAGTACCAAAATTCATCACGTCAGTCACCCATCTATTTAAGACATCCCAAAATCTAAAAATTTTAAGGGCATTTTCGTCCTTTTCAACTTAAAATTTCAATTTGAACATAAATAAATGAATTGAAGCCCTAAGATCGATCCCAATTCGCAGTTCTCCTCCTCATCCTACCTTAATTTGATGAGAAAAACTACGAATTGGGATAGATCTTATACCTTAAATCCCTTTATTCATGTTCAAATAGGGATCCTAATTTGAATAGCACGAAACTATCCTTAATAATTTCATATTTCGACATGTCTTAAACGAAGGGGTGATCGACGTGATGAATTTTGACACTAAAACAATAGTTGTGGACGAAAATTGGTATTAAAACAATAATCGTGAATGAAAATTTGTATGAATTAAATATGTAGACCAAAATTGTCATTTTACTAATTCTAGTGAGACCAAAATGGTATTTGCTCTATTATTATAATTGTAATTGTAATATAATAATAACAAAATTTAATAAATATGGAGTAAATAAAAACAAAAAATAAATAAATAAAGTACAAAAGGCTGCCATTTGAAAGCTTTCTAAATTGTGCAAGCTTTCAAATCCAAAAAGTAAAAATGTCACCTATATTTGCAATTGCAAGATTTGGAGGGATAAATCTAGCCTAAATAGGTTTTTAGATAATTGGCTATTAATTTGAGCAATTATTTACACAAATTCAAGCAATGATAACTTCAAAATACATAAACGATCTAAACATATCTTTAATTGCACTATATAATATTTGATGTTCTAATTTAAATAATTATATATCGATTTAAATATTCTTAATATATTACCACAAATTTATTTATTGCATCGCACGAGTGAAATTACTATTTAACCACTAATAGTAAAATCTAATTTTATCAAAAATATCTTTACACAATTATGTATTTATACTTTTTGTGTTACATTAAAAATCTGTTATAAATATAAGAAATGTGTTTCTCCCATCATTATGAAGGATAACAACACTATTTATAAAAGAAATGTGTCTATCTCAACCTTTTCTTTTACATATGTACATTGAATATTTTTTGCAAACGGAAATTTTTTGACATATGATTTATTAATTTACAAGTGATTTATTAAACTCTGAATTATTCATTATACTTTTGTCTTTTTCAATGTTTGTATCTATTAGGGATATATTGAGATTAAAAAAATCATGGTATGAAAGCGAATCAAAAATCTTAATTAATTTTTTTAAGTAATTTAATTCTTATGTTTTTAGGGTAACACTAAATATTTTAATTAATTATAATTTCCTATCAAACTTACTTATTACATGCATCAAATATATTCATTTTAAAATATTTTCACAGGAAGTTAATTGGTGTGGAAGTATATATCAAACACCCTCTAAGTGTTGTTGGTTTGTGATTGCTTATTATATAAATGACTAGTATTTTTTATGCGCGATGCGCAAAAAATAGGTGCTCAATATTAATACATTATATTAAAATTTTAAATTTATTTAGATTTTAGATATTTAAATTATTCTAAATAATAATAATAATAATAATAATAATGTAAATCATTTTTATAAATTTTATATTTATTTATATATATGTAATAATTAACATATAACTCAAATATTTAATGTGTATATATTATTATTAATGAAGAAGATAAGAAAATATATAGTGGATACATGTGCATGGTAACAATAGTGGAAAAGATAGCGGAAGTTATAACGGTAGGGGTATGTTTGTCCAAAATATTTTAATGTACAACCTTTATAGCATAATGGACAAAAAAAAACTTAACGAAAAAAGGGACATAAATCAAGGGTATAACTTTCATTCACACTTATTATGTTTTTCGATTATAATATGAATAGAAATAGAAATTTGTGCTAAAGATTAGAGTTGAAGTGCATATATATATATATATATTTTCGATTATAATATGAATAGAAATAGAAATTTGTGCTAAAGATTAGAGTTGAAGTGCATATATATATATATATATATATATATATATATATATATATATATATATCGCTACAAGAAAAATTGCGAATCGCGACGGACAATATTCCGTTGCAATTTAGCGACCGAAAATGCGACCGATTATATTTCGTTGCGGAATGACGACGGAAAGGGCGACAGAATTTAATTTCGAAACTTGGCGCAAAGATAAAATAAAGCCCGTGAAATATTGGCGGCAAAATATCATGACCGAATTTGCGACGGAACTAATTTACGTCGTCCATTTTGCGACGGAACTAATTTACGTCGTCTATTTTGCGACGGAAAAGACGACGTATTTTCGTTCCGTCGCGAATTGGCGACGGAAATTGCGACTAACTGGATTCCGTCGTTAAATAAATTAAATTTTGGTGTATTGACTAAAAATTGCGACGGAAATTGCGACCGACTAGATTCGTCGCAATATTTTTATTAAATTTTATTTTCCAGGACTTTGTGGTCTAATGGTATCCGGGTTGGACTTCCATTTGGAAGGTTGTGAATTCGAGCATCAGTGGAGGCGTTATTGGTTCTTTGTGTTTCAGTAGGTTGAGAAAGTATATGAACAGATACTACATTGTAATAGAGCCAATAGTATTCAAAAAAAAAAAAAAAAAAAAAAAAAAAACGGTGGCGTTTTGATATGAAATTAAAATTTTCCCAAAAAATAAAATTTATAACCCTAGACACTCCTCGACAACTCCTCAGAACACTCCAAACGCAAACACTCCTCGACGCCATCGCAGAACGGAGCACCACCATCGCCGTCCAGCCGCTGCAGTCGCAGTGCAGCCGTCGTCGTCCATCCGTCGTCGTGCAGCCGTCGTCGTCCATCCGTCGTCGTGCAGCAGAACTCCGTCACTGTCCCTCCTCCTCAACTGTACAAGCTTGATAAGACCTAAATAAACTCCACATTACAAATTAATTTAATATAGCTCTAATTAGATCATTCTCTGTGGTTTAATATAATATATTGTAAGTTGATTAAATGTAGCTTCATATATTGTCTTACGGAAATGTGTCCTTTTGTGTGTTAATATTACCATTTTACACACATTTTTTGTTGTAGGTACAATATTGAAATGCTGTAAATCAACATACAAAGCGACTGATATACAGGATATGGTGCAATGTAGGTAGAATTGGTTGATAGACCTCCTCAGTTGATCCTCTACCTTCAATTACCAAATTGAAAGCAACAGTGTCCATTAATTATGTATTAAGTGTGGATTGATAATGTAGTATTATGTTGTTTAGAGTTGAATTGACGATTATATTATGTATGAAATGTGGATTGGTAATGTATTATTATTATTTTAACTTCATTTAGAATTATGTTATCTTTTATTTTAAAAACATTCATTACTATTTAAAATCACAATTTTATTTTAAAATTATTCAAAAACGCGATGGAATATAAGATTTGAGACGGAATATATTGTTGCAAATGATGCGACGAAATTACGACGGAAAACATTTTCGTTGCAAAATGGGCGACGGAAAAGATAATATGGCGACGGAATATTCGGTTCAGAAATAACAACAGATTTGCAACAAAAACAGTTCCGTTGCTAAATGGACGACGGAATACTTCCGTCGACAAATGGCGACGGAAATATTCTGTCGCGAAGTCCATCGCCAAAAGTGGCGACGGAATTATTTCTTCGTCTATCAAAATACGACAAGGGGATAGACGACGGAATAAATTCCGTCGCGAAACGCAATTCGTGACGGAATATTGCCCATTCGCGACGGAAAAATTCCGTCGCGATTCGCGCTTTTTCTTGTAGTATATATATATATATATATATATATATATATATATATGGAACGCTCTAATGCGAACTAACGCGGCCATGAGAGAAACCAGAACACATGACAGTCATTCACGTGTCCAAATTAACGAATCAGATGTAATTAAAAAAAAAACTACGCGGTGGTATTTTCGTAAATAACTTGAACTTTGGTGCAAGTAAATGTGTTATAAGTGCGAGTAGATGGTGCACCTTTGCAAGTAAAATCACTTACAAGTGCAAGTAATTTTACCTTGTTAACATTCGTGCACCTAGGTGCAACTACTTATAACGTTAGGTGTACATAGTTATAACGTTAGGTGCACTTAGTATTGATGCTCAATGTAAATTTTACTTGCACCTGTAATACATTTTACATGCACTTGTAATACATTTTACTTGCGCTTAGGTGCACAGTGCACTATATGAAACTGCTACTTGCACTTGTAATACATTTTACTTACACTTCGATGTTCAATTATTTAAGAAAATGTCACCGCATTTAATTTTTTCTTAAATCAATGTTTCTCATCCGTTATATATGAACACGTGGGCAGATGACATGTGTTTTCATTTTTTTCCTGAACGGACAATTCGCACCTAAAAGCCCTCATATATATATATATATATATATATATATATATATATATATATATATATATATATATATATGGAAGGGATCAGGTGCGGGTGGACGCACATTAAGCATTACACTGGCACACTTTAAGTACACAACACACACATTAAACACACAAACAAAATACATTCAGAACACAAACTCACGCACCTTAATCACAAAAGTCACGCACCTTAATTAAGCACAAAACTCACGCACTTTAAGCACAAAAACACATGCACCTTAAGTTTTAACAACAACTCACATTAAGTACACACTCACGCACATTAAGAACAAAACTCACGTACCTTAAGCACAAGGCTCGCGCACCTTAAACACCAAACTCATGCACTTTAAAGTTTCAACAACAACTCACACTAAGTACACACTCACGC